TATATTAAATAAAAATCAAATGATTGTCTGTGATAAAAATGTGGGCACATCTTGATATAACGAACACAAATGTAACAGAACAAACAGGTACACTTGGGCAATGGAACCACTAATAAGTTAATTTGGTTAGCTTGAGACAAAAGTCTACTTCTTGTAATTGTAGTAGCCAGTGGCTTGAGTGTTTACCTGTGTAACTTGCTGTAGCAATGTCTCCCAGTGTATCACTGATGGCAAGTGCATTTACTGGCTCCACATGGCATTTAATACATCTCACATATCCAAGCCTAAAATGGGAAAGATAATTAAGGGAAAAAGGGCTAACTGACCAAACATTAATACAAAACTGAGAAACTTAAACAGTTCCAAGGACGCAAAAAGATACAGGTGATGGCTATACAGTGTATGTTCCATTACTGCTGTGACTGCACAAAATTACAATGGGAACAGAAAAACATGCAATGACCTATACATAAACTGATGAAAACAAAAACCTTGTGGTATACCTGTTGAGGTCCCATATAATACAGCGGCCGTCCTCTCCTGCACTGACAAAGATGCTGAAAGGTTTGCAGACTTCAAGACAAGTAATAGATCCCTGATGACCATACAGACATTGGCGGGGGCCCGTCACTTGGATGTCACATGCCTGGGAAAAACAATCAACATTTATTTTGTTGAGTGCCAACTTTCTAAAACTTAATTCTATCTCAGAGCTGTACAAATTTCTAATATCATCTTACAATATTTGAAAATTACTTTCAAAGCTCGTTATTAGGGCTTATATTCTTAAAGTTATTTTAATTTTACTTCAATTTTTTTCTGCAAATTTTCAGAAATCTTTTTTCAGTGTGCTTAGCATAAATACTACTGAAGTAATTTAAATGTCAATTAGTGAGGATAAATATGTACAGTACAGTGCTTATTAAGTTTATTTATTAAGCAATTAAATAAGTTATATATATTTTAGACTGTGAGCAACTCTACCTAAGAGTCCATTTGAAATGTGAACTAGTTTATGTGGTCATACCTTTGTAGTGTTGAACTTTGTGCTGTAGACAGTGACCACTCCTGATGTGTCCCCAAAGAACAACAGCTTGCAGTCTGGGACTGAGGTGCAGCAAGTTATCTGGAATAGTATATATGTGTTGTTTAGTATAATATTATTTTTACTTCCTGATTGATATTAGCACAGAAAAGAAAGGCATATCTGCATGCATGTATGCACACATATGACTGAGCACATATATGCAAACACACCATGTCTGGTTACCATATGATAATGCAGACAAGACACAATCCACCCACCCTACCACAATGATATGAACATGTACCTTAGGGTAATTATTAAAACCAATTAATCTTACAACACAACTGACACTCACTCCATTACAACCAATTCCTCTTCACTAAAATTAAAGTGAATTAGATCTGGAGCATTTCTTTAGCTTTATACCTGTTCATTGGTGTTCCAGTGAAGAAAATTAACAGGAGGCTGATTTTTCTTATTCTGTATTCTAACAATGCTGTCTGCATGTCCCCAGCTCACAATACCTGCCCAGGTGATATCAGTGGTCGTTATGGTAGTAACACCTGCAATGTGGGTCAGAAAAAGTTTGAAGACCAAGGACTGATTTCTAGAAAGTTGTGGCAAATTATATCTTAAAATTTTGGTTTTACAAAGTATATGTATAGATGTAAACACGTTTATTGAATCAGCACATTTTTCCANCTCAAGACCTGTAATATAGCTTTATTGGCATTTCATCTACTAAAACCATAAGAGTATGTTAGCTTAAAACTACTTTCTGTGAATATGAGGGTTATAATATTGCAGTATGTAATTTAAACTCTGAAATGTAATTTCACATTTTTCAAATAGGGCATTATGAAATTGCACAAAAGTTAAATTATACTATTAGACATCATGTACTTTTGAGCCAAGCAATTTCTCGCACCTTTCCTTGTCTCCTCTCATTCTCTATCCTTCCTGCCTGCTGCAGAGGTTTCTCAGATGGTAAAAACAACAAGTTAGATATCATCTTAGCTGCACTGGACTCTGTAGGCAGCTGGCAGGCTACATGTGGTCTGGGGTACAGCTGCTTAGGGACCTGGCCATAGGTACGGATCATGGTCTTGCTGGCATTCTTTTTAAGAGGGTCCTTTATTGAGTCTACATCCACTCCATAATAACACTACAAGGGGAAGAATATTTGCTCAATTGTATCTTAAATCGCTATTTTCATATAGAAAAAAATAAAGTTGTTATAGTGTACCAAACTGTTTAAATTCTATACTGATACAATATACAGGGAGGATAAATATTTTTAAAAAGTAACAATTTATACAAAAAGATTGCGGAAGAATTTTGAAAGATTTTTTTCATTTAATAGTTCATTTAGAAAAATACAAAGAAGAAAATCAAATCCAAGCATTTAACATATAAAATTACACATTAAACAGGAGAGTACTTCATCTACACTAAAAATTTGAAGTGATACATATAGAACATGACTCACAGCTGGGTGGAAGACATTCAATGCATCAACGGCCGCCTTCCCAGTCTGCTTAAAACCAAAGATGAGGTCTATCCAGTTGTGGATGTTATTAGACACATAGGTGGACTCCAAGGCCTGTCTGTGGATAAGGATGAAAAGCCTGGGGTTGTTTCTACACCAGGGTGGCAGGAGAACGTTCTCTACAACTTCTCCCCCTTGTCTTGTTCCAAGATTAAATCCTGTAATATGAAGAGGTATGAGAAGCCAGAAATTTTTATCAGACACCAGGAGTTTGCCAGAAACAAAAATAGATAACCTCTTGTTTATTATAACTTGAAAATTCAAATGGATAATCTGTATAGTTCTTTGTTAACATTATGGAAAAAATTGCTTTGCCTTTTGTATGATAAAAATAAAATTTTGTAAAATAACTTCAGTATACCTTCATTGTTTTCCAAGAATTCAGGCAGAAAGAAAAACTCTGGAATCAACTCTTTGAAATCAGTGCTGGACTCAAAGCTGGCAAGGCGCCATGATGTGTCCATAGAATGGAACAGGCGGTCTGGGATGTCAAAATTATTGTCTGAAATATTGGAAAAAAAACTTAAATATATAAGTCTAGTATAAAAAAACCATTCTTAACAAGTCACCAACAAGATTTGTTTCTTCAGAACAACTTAGATAAAAACTGCTTCCACCTTACACAACTAAATCCGATCTATGACATAATTTCTAAATGACAGTGAAGACATTTTTTAATGGATACACAACAGCAGACCCATAGAATAAAACAAATTTTAGTAATATTATTTCACCATTATTGTGGGACTGGATTTTCCTTTTCATATCTGTGACTTATTTTATTTATTGCCTTATAGTCTACCAGTATATAATTCACATCAAGCTTCAAACAACACACAATTTCAGTTTTCCATAGAATGTATAACAAATTGTGTTCCTTCCGTACCTTGGTAGGATAAATGCATCCTGGTAAATGGCAGAAGTCTCACAAGGAAATGCAGGATAGTTCCACTGTTGGAGTACAAGGAACCATAGTGGTAGGGTTCTACTACAAACCCAGAGTTCTCTACCATGGGGTCTGCAATGTTCTTCTCATACTCAGCTTGTAATATCTGGATATAAAACAACTGAATATCAGTTTCCCATAGCATCATACCCATGCTGTGTTCAGGGATTGCTAAGTCAAGCTCCAGGTCTCTGGGAATAAAAAGTTTTGAAAACTTCCCTTTCTCCCTGGAAGTTACTGGTTCTGAGTTCAGTGTAAATCACTTGAATGTCACAGTCTTAAAATACATGTACAAAGATCAAGTCCAAAAATAAGCTCTATTCTCAAAACTAATTAATCTGAAAGAACAATTTTAATCTTGAACAGTGATAACATTTGCAGTGATTTCAGGCTAGTTTATTCTCTTCAAATATAACAAAATATGATTTTGTATTTGACACGTTACTTTTTTCCTTACAACAAAATACTATGGCATAAAAGGTTAATTATAGCTGATCATCACATTCCATAATTGTCCCCATGAAATGTTAGATTGCAATGTATCAAATACCTCCACATTTAAATGACCTCTACTAACATTATGAAATGAAAGGTGCAAAAACAATGTCCAAGTGCAAAAATAAATATATAATACATAGAACTAATATGTAAGAGTAATTGAAACATCAAACCACGATGATAGAGTTCTTACAAAATGCCCAATTTCTACTCATTTTTTCTTAAAAGAAAAGCTGCAAAGAACAAAAACCCTTATCACTAAAAAATCCAGGTTAAAATTTTAGTATCTTGTCCATTATATCTTCACTTGATGCGCTTGCCTGTCAGTTAAAATGAATGAACAAAAGAAAAAATTGAAATTTTTTTTCAAAATTTCAAAACAAAATTAAGTGAAACAGTTACCTTTTTCGGTTTATCATTTAATGTCTGAAAATGGATAACAAAGGTCATGAGAAATATTTCACACCTTATTTAACAAACCAATTCACATTGTGACCCAGGAGCAGGAAAATAGGATATACCTGACTTGTCGTGATTATTCTGAAAAAGAATACATAAAATTGTACGTAACATTATCATCAGTTTTTCCCTTACCTCATAGTTTGTGATGTATTTTTCTTCCTTGCTTTTCTCTTGAATTGAAATAGCACGATCCAATTTCCTAAAGAAAACAAACATTAAAAATTTGAAAACTGTTGAAATGCAATTTATAACAATTTGCTGATTACCTTCAATCATGTAAAAATGTGGTAAAATCTTATTCATACCAAGGATATTAAAACAAATAGTAAGTTAAATCACAATACAATGGCTCATGTTGGTAAACATTCAGGGACCAAGGGAAATTATAATTAAATAATATTTTTAAAAGATGCACAATAAAAAAGAATGACAATGAAAAGAAACATTTACATATATATATATATATTACTATTTTCTGTAAGAAAAAAAATACACATGCACACACACTAGTGTGCACACTCACACACCTGTATATATTTTCATCCTCCAGATCTATTTCCTTACTGGTGTAGTTACTGAGGATGAAAGGAAACACTGGATACTGCATCAAATCATTAAATGATCTTCCAGACATCTTGTTCAGATGAGTCAGGTACTCAAAGTTGGTCATCCGTCCTTCCATCCACAGCTGTGTCACCATGCTTGGGTCCTCGCCTTTGATCTGATTGGCCAGTTCAAGGACATCAAGGTGACGGAAGAGCTGGTCTCTGTCCTGGTAGTAGAAGAGTTTTATCAAAACTTTATTTCATGGGTATTTGAAAATACTTCTATTTTTCATCTTTCAAATCTAAACATTTTATCTTATTCAGTATCATTATTTATTATAACTAAATGAATCTGGTGCTAGTAGAATTATCTTACATATTCTACTGAAATCTTTAAAGTTTGAAAATTGGAGCTAAACCACAGTGAGGTATTATGTATAAATATCAATAAATTCTTAACTGTTTTGGTACTTACTCTGGTGGATTCAAATGCCAGCAAGCAAGTCTTCCCACTGGTCAAAAATATTTCCAATGCATTATCCCTCAACTGAAACCTTCTTTTGTGCAGTTCCTTGATTTCTTCATGAGGCCAGGTCATAGACAGCATGTCATGTTCTTCAGTCAAAATCTATAAAAAAACATAATTGTTTCTTACGTATAATCTGACTGACTGCATCTTTCCTCATTCTAAAAATTGACAAGAGAATTCTCTGTCTTTAACCAAGGACTTGAAAAATATTTCAGAAAACAAAAAATGAGAATGATCTAACAGCATACACAGATTATGATTTGAGTACAATTAAATGTGTGTGTGTGTGGAATTGCTGGTGTTAATATCATTTGGTAATACCTGTGTGGTATTTCCTTGCTTCACTGCTGCATCACCAACAAAGTAAACATTGTTCTCACCTGCAAAAGGAAATTAAAATGAGAAAACAAAAACTCATATTTGGATTTGTGGACAATAAATCACCTTACTCAACTTGCTGATTGATACCTAAACATGTTCCCAAATGCTTTTTTATATCTTTTACCTTATTTCCTAATAAATGCCGAATTCTGTATATGTTAATATCAGTTTTCAAAATGAGTGTTTCCATACTCACCAACCAATATCTCTCCTGGTGTTTCTATCACTGGGGTAACATTAGTGCTCCTCATGGTTAGCCTAATAATAGAAAAAAATCAGTCCACACAAGAAGCAATGAACTTTTTTTATCACCTCATAGACATTATATCAGTACTGCAAGTCTTTGTTTTGTTGAAATTATTTTTTCATGTCCTTACTACTATAAGAAGACCAGTCATATTTTTAAAAGAATGAAATGTAAAACTTACGTTATCTTCTCATTAGTATGTAGCCTGTAGATGAGTTTTGCAGAGTCAGACATTTGGTCATCAGATTCAAAGAGATATGTCAAAGGACCCTTGAAGTCAGCTGTTCCTAAAAAGTGGAGTAAAAAATAATTAACAAATAGCTTGAATCAGATAAATATATACAAACTTAATTGATAAGTCCGATTACTTATTCAGAAGTCAGCATTTGCATAAATCAAACTAAAAATAAAAAGTTCCAAAAACATTGCAAATATTCTTATTGCTTACTCAGTTTCCCCTGATGGTCTGGTTTCAAAAACTTCTCTCTTAACAATAAATGACATCTCTCAAGTCTTTTCCTCACTCGCCAGGGTCCTTCTGTGGGGTCTAATTGCCAGGACTTGGGATAGGTACTTGGGCTATACCACACTGCCCTAGAATACAAAGCATGTGAAGTGATGAGTAATGTTATTTCATGTTTTTGTTGTGACACTTTTTATTTTTGGCCTTTGTCAATCATCTATCAAACAACAATTGTAAGTTAAATTCTGATGAACATATACAAAATTTTAAAAACCTCTTTCATTCTGTGATTATTTTTTGAAGTCTTATGCATACAGCCAAAAATTCATGGGACTGAGATTCAATCAACTAGTACAACAAGGTATAGTCTTTCCAAATATCAAGAATAAAAGATCTTGTGCAAATTCAATGCTGCAAAGGAAAAACATGAGTTACCTTTCATGGGTAAGTTGCTCCACCAAATGATGCCACGCCTTTTTGATCTGCAAACTGTTGGCCATGGACAGTTTGATGTGGTCAATAAACTTGCTTCTCTCCAGGCTCTGTATATTAACCACTGTCTGGGTCTCCTCCATGGCATGAGTGGACAGTTGCTTGGCTAGAGTGTCTGGCTTGTGGATGATTCTGGTGGAATAGGAGAGAGAGCTGGTAAAGCACATTTCCATTTAATGTTTTGGTAACACCTGTGTGAAAGCTGCATAAATAGGTTTGACGTTTGAAACTAGACACGTCTATATTGCTGAAAAAATAATGAATTTTGTTTAATTAATTTTAATGCTATCTAAAAGATATCTTATCTAGACAAAAAGTAAAAATAAAGTACTTAAAAACGTCAAAATAATTTGGCTTAATCATAACACCTGTTTTCTACTTCTTTTCTTCTACTCATCCATCTCTTTTTTGCTTTCTTGTCATCTGCTGCCCAATGTTTTATATCCTGAAATCAAAAATGTTAAGTGTTACATTGAAAATGCCATTGCCAATTTTTTTTACTGAATTCCTTTAGTGCAAAGTAATAATTCATTACAGCCATCTTAAAAACTTCAAAGATAAAGTTGAAATAAGCTGGCCACTCGAGTACAATATTATTTCAGTTTTTTCCTATATTTCAGGACCAAAGTAAAACATTAAATAAACAAACAATACCTCCTCAATACTAGCTTCTTGATCCTCTGACAGAGAAGTGTCTGGCAGTATGGGTGTAATATCACAATGTTTCAATGTGTTCATCAATACCCTGCCAGCCTCCCTGTCCTGAAAGCTGACCTCATGACACGTGTACAGTTCATACAGGTAATACGCCACTCTGGGGCCCTGCTGCAACATTGAAAATTTGGATTGTAAAAAAACTTTTAATAACTCCTCATCAATCTCCAGGCTTACCATGCATAGTTTTCATAGAAATAATATGCAGTAGAGCAGAATACAGAAAATATACAATATACAGAAAATAACTGATTTAATTGCTAAGACAAACAACTGAGACTATATTTTTATATTTAAAAATACAATGAGTTGTCTCTGGCAATTTACTTTTTTTTCCCCAAGTATTAAAAAATGCAGGGAACGATTTTTACTTTTATGTTTACATCACTACGACAAGAAATCTACTTCCCATTTTATAATACAAAATATTGTAATGAAAAATACTAACTGCAGATGATGAACTGAGAGAGAGTTTGAGCAGATCTCCAGCATTGTCCAGTTGTACAATACAACTGACTGCAAAGGTTCTCTGTGCCAAGTACTGGACTGGGGACAGCATTAACACCAGTAACTTGATGAACTAAAACAGTAACCATATTATATTAAACAGGTTTTCTGTGCCAAGTACCGACCCGGGGACAGCATGAACACTAGTAACTTGATGAACTAAAACAGTAACCATATTATATTAAACAGGTTTTCTGTGCCAAGTACTGACCCGGGGACAGCATGAACACTAGTAACTTGATGAACTAAAACAGTAACCATATTATATTAAACAGGTTCTCTGTGCCAAGTACTGGTCAGGAGACAGCATGAATACCAGTAACTTGATAAACTAAAACAGTAACCATATTAAATCAAACAGGCATGTTGTAAATGGATATTATCTAAATGTATTACTATGTTAAATAATGATCCAATTTGCATGCAACAAGACTGGATTTATGTCATGACAGAATTCCCAATTTAAATTGTGGTATTTTGGTATTTCTCGTTGATGCGGTGAAATATATAATTACAGTGAAACATACTCACTTCAACCCTTATCAAATCTTTTGATGACCACAAGAGGGTGTTCCATTCTTTTTTGGGGCCTTTGTGTCTTTCCTGAAGAGACATAAAGAAAGAGATACATTACAAAACAACCTAAAAGCCAAACATCATTATACTGCACAGAATTATGATAATAGATATTGATAGTTTTTCGCCAATTCAAAACGAAAATTAAATACCCTACCTGAGATTCAGCCAGAGCTTTGAGTAAAAAGTTCAGCAGAAATCTCTGGAAATGATGCTCATGTGTGGCTGGGTTGGAATCATCTTTACCCATCAACTGCAACTTCTTCACATGATACTCAATGTCAATTTGTCCTACAGAAAAAAAAAAAAAATAAATGAATCAAATGTGAATGAAATCTTTCATGAAATGTCTCCTTAATGGTGGAATTTGACTCTACTGACAAATTCAGATGTCACTGCCCTTACCTAAATAACTAATAAAGTAAACCTCTTCTGTTGCCAAATTTAGGATTTCATAAAAATTACTAGACTGTGCCAATATTAATTTTATAATGTGTGCATCAAGGCATTTAGATTCAATACTTCATTAGGGCAAACATTTACCAGAGCAAGTCACAATATCCACAGCTTTCACCAAAGTCTTCTTAAAACGGTCGATGAGTTCACTGATTGTCAGCTTTCCCAACTATGTCTTTGCCTTTTTTGGTCGTAGTTTGTAGCAACCCACCCTCGAATACTGCTGCAGTACTGTGCCGTCTACTGGGGTCCAAACCAAGATATCTGAGTGAATACAAAATTGATTTAGATGTATTTCATCCAGTACAACATGTGTACGTAAGTGCAGATTCAAATATTTACCACTACTGCAAATAATTTGGTGTAATAATTGTTAGCAAGTTAAGAGAATTTGGTGTAACAATAAAGGAAGATAACAACCATGTATTAATTAAACATTTCGAAGTCTTTTCAACCTTAAGAGATAACTTCTGAAAGCAAAATGAGATAAATTGCAGTTTTTTTTACTAATATTTTCCCTTTAGTGTTTTGCAAAAGAAAATTACCTCTCTGTTCTAGAAGCATTGAGGTTAAAAACAGTATCCACCACATCCTCAGCACCACTCTCTGGACTCTCTTCACTTACTTCCAGGGTGACTTCTCTCTCAGTGACAGGGACCAAGGACACTGCACCTAGGAGAGGTGGTTTGTGCAACTGTTGGTGCTGCTGCCAAATACCCACATTCATGAAGAAGTTCTGCTTCCCTGGCTCTGCCACTGTGCACATGGGGAGAAATGGGGACAGGGGCATTCAGATAATTTAGTAGGAGTCAAATGGGCAAATGTTTCCTATTATGTAGTTTTCAACTTTTGTCATACTTATAATAATGTAATTGATGAAAACTAGGAATCTGCTGGTAAAAAGGAAAACAATCTACAGTAGGCTAACCTACAATTTTTACAAATTAATTTTATAACAATTTAATAATATTAAAATCAATTTTGAATAGTACAATAAAACTTTTTTTCATGTTCTTTATTACTCTTAAATGCCACACCATAGTTTCTGTACCTAGATGGTTCAGTCCAAAAGTCAAAATGCAGTATTATTAATTACTAATTTGATTATCTTTTGACTTCCAAAAAAAGCTGCTCATTTAGACTTAAATTCTTCTAAAAACCAAATAATACCAATCAAAATTATACAAATTATTCAAAATTTAACAGGAACCATTCAAATGAAGCACAGGAAAGGTAAAATGTACTGATAAGGTGGTAGAAGGTAAGCAGAGGCAACGAAGCAAAACTGATCATGAATGTGGGAAAAAATCAACTAATTTATAAACACTGACAGCAAACAAAATTATGATGAATGACATGAACCTAAATATTTCACAACATATCAATTTAAGTGATAACTAATCAAAGGCAATAGTTGATAAATTAACTGATAATCAGTGACAAATTCAAATTGTGAAATTAATCTTGACATCAATTTTAAACAAATAGCAACATATTTGGTCAACTTCAAGGTATGTAATACAAGTAGAATGCAACATCCAAGTATTCATAATAATAGTAGAGATAAATATACTAACATGTATTTGTACAGTGAGTAATTACTGCAAACAGTCTTTGGACATGGAACATACTGTCAAAATTTTACATGAAGAAAATTATTCGTCATTTTAAAATATACCACTTGAAAGCATCAAGGCAAGCTATAAATCAGCCTTGCAATAATTAAAAATGCTAAAAATTCTGGGTGCTTTATTAAACCTACCTTCTGTCTTCCTACGACTGGTGACAACTGGGAGGGCCAGAGGGCTCTGATCATTCAGGGATGAAGCAGACTTTATATATGGCAATGGCAGATTAGCCACTACCCCTCTGTCTTCTATTGTACACTTGGTCTCTACAAATTCTAAAACAGCTTGGAAACATGAACACTGGATGCTGCGGACATTTTCCACAGCTCTTGACTGCAAGCCTGAAAATATACCTTGGTGCTTTAGAGAAAAATTACTGAAATTATAAGGTAAATCCCAAAAAATGAGAAATATGAAAGTTCTTTTCTTTGAAATAAATAAACAATCTTGGTATTGTAATTCATATCAACAAATAACATTTATAAGTGATTACCACCCTTTCTTACCATATCTTTCTTCCTCCTTCATCTCTAATATAGAAAACATTGTCATCATGTCATCAAACTGCTGGTAGCATGACACTCCTGATGTGCTGTAATATGATATACATAATATAATATGATATATTATGTATATATCAACTGTAATTCATCAGACATTACAATAACAGTAAATAAGATAATCCCCATAGAAATGCATCCAGTCTATAAAACATAACTGTTAAATGAAATACAAAAGTAACAAATTATCATATTTACATATATATATTTCTTCTTAACGTGAGTATCAAATTTCTTTCACAGGATAATGCACATGATATTCATTGGTACTCACCTGAATGTCTTGACTGCAATCATGGCAGCAAAATGCTGGATATCTTCTACTACAATCTGCTGCTCATCCTCACCAATTATGTCAGATATTCTACAAGAAAACAACAAGCTTTCCAATAAGATAAAAAGTCAGAAACCAGGACAGTTACATAAAATTACTAGTGATGCCTCTTCCACCTTGAGTAGTAAAGACTGAACAATAGTTAGGTGCTCACTGTCACTTTTCATATGTACCAGCAAGTTAGAGAGGGCAAAATGTTTCCGAAATGGGGCACAATGGTGGTGTTCCTGAGTGGTCTACAGTAGAGCGACCTCCTGGTGCTGAGTAGAAAACAGAAGCTGGTGATTATATAAGAACATTGGCAACAAGAGGTATGTTAGTCTGTTAATCTGAGTGCATACAGTGAGAGTTCCCGTGAAGCTAGGTCCCAATAGCTAGGTTGAACTAACTCATTATGAATGGCCCCTGATCCAAAAAAAAATGCACAGTACTTTTTCCTTTTCAATAACCCTGATAACAATTTGCTGGTGAACAATCTTGAATTTAGCATAAGGAACTAGGTTAATACAGGTACATATTAGTTCCCCACGTACCTAGGTTCATTCTTGTTGATGGCTGCTACCATGTTGCCCAGCACCTCTACCAGACCATTCTCCAGCATCACCTGCGTCATCTGTGGGGCCGTCTCAAACAACTGAAAGATGATTGTATAATATAGGACAAGTTTGTGTCATTGGTGAAACTATGTTAAAAAAGAATACACTTTTGACCTGGTAGAATTTCAAATACCAACTCCACTATTGTAAAATATCAACAATTTTTCAATTGGATTCCACAAAATGTCAACATTTTTCAATCTGACTCCTCCTCTTCTTGCATTATCTAGCTATGCATTACTGAATGCTAGCAAATGTGCCTTGCAAAGTGTTACACTGTATTCAAGTTACCTGAATGAGCAGACATATGGCATTATGGCACAGGGATGTGTCATAGACAGTTTTCTCCATCAGTGCCAGGACTGGGGTGATGGCTGACTGTTGCAGTGGGCGGAGGTCAGAAAGCTGGTTAGGGTCGATGCTGAAATATGAAGAACAAAATTTATATCTTAGGCTATATAATATATAGTTAATATAATTTTCTAAAGTTAATATGATGCTAAGCTGATTCTAAGAAATGCTTAAATACATGCTACCTGAATATAACCTATTTACTTGCTACGACTGAGCAAAATATTGTCAAATTTCCAAATACAAAAACGTGGCACCACTCATCGTCACCACATGAAATAATCTACTCACTCATCTATCATGCTGTGTAACTTCCCAAACACCATTGCCAGGCAGGCCTCCACCAGTGAGCGGGTAGCCTGATGCTGGTGGAGCTGACTGCCTAGGAGGTGGAATCCCTGAATCTTCAGGAAGTTCTCGCACTGTTCATCTGTGGCACGGTGGAAATAGACATCTAGGAGCTGGAAATGAAACTTTGTGTTTCAATCCAATTCTTTCTATCAATGAGTGTTTCATGGTACAAGTTTAATTTTAAAATAGGAGGAAGGGCAAATCCCAAGTACTTTTAGCACTGCAAGGTGGGTGGTGCAAATTGTACTGTAAAAACTCAAAAGATGGCAAAAGACTTTCATCCTGACATAAAACATGCTTGCTTCTACTACTGGCAATGGAGCTGTGTTTAAATCCAATTCTTTATATTAATGAGCATTTCATGGAACCCATTTAATTTCAAAATAGCAGGATGGGCAAATTCCAAGTACTTCTAGCTTTGCATGGTGGTACACATTGTACACTAACTGAAGAAACTCTACAGCAAAAGACAGAATACATGCTTACCTGTACTACTGCAGTTCTGATCTCAGGAGAATTGTGATGAGCTAACACTAACAGGACCTCAGGACGTAAAACCATTCCCAGTATCCTCTTGGAAGCTACATCACACAAATTTATCACGACTCCTTGCAAAAGCTGAAGCAGGCCTGATGGAAATAAAGATTTTAATTTTTTTTTTTTTGAAAAATTTAATTGAAAGACCTGTGCTTCAAGATCAAAGCTGTTTAACGAGGTTTGAAACAAAATCAAATATTGTAATCAAATACTGTAACAAAATGAATGTAATACATACCAAAGTTATCAAAAGTTTATTTTTTCAACTGATGATCAGAGCTCATTGTTTTAAAAAAATTTAAGAGGATCAGGAGACAAATTTTCTTGGAGTGTTGTTGACACTGTAAATAGTTTTTAAAGCTATATTAATGCACACACTGTATTCAATAAACTTAAATCTATAATCATTTTTAATTTAACTATGTTGAAAATATTAAATATCAGAGCTTACCTGAACAGACAACAACTAATCCCTTCTCTCCTTCATCTACCTCATCAATGCCATCTTTATTGGCATTTTCCAGAGACACTTGCACACTATTCATAGAAGTTGGATCTGGATACAGTTCCCAGTCTTCACTTTGACTATAGCTAACATCACTTAAAAGGTTACTGCTGTCATTCTGCAACTCTTTAGGTTTAGACTGTGCAGTGGCGCCACCTTCAGTCACTTCACCAGTTCCTGGTGATATAACAGGACTGGTATCATCTGCAATCTTGGTATTAACACTAGAACCAGATACAGCAGTCATGTAGGATTCTGGGGTTGAATGATCTTTACTTGGTATCCTCGCTGAGATCTCAGGACCTTCCTGATCCCCGCCTCTGAAAGTATCTCTGTGCTCAATCTGATCTTCTGAAGCTGACCCCAGGGAGATGACACAAGCATCAGAGTCCATGGTAGTTGAATGAACATTTATTCTTGTATGTGCTGAATTTCTTGCTTTAGAAAAGATATCTTTAGAATTATCATTTTCTTCAACTTGAGGTGGTGGGAACACTTCTTCATTTTCCACGTCATTCAAAGCTTCCTTGTCTTCAATATTATCCTCATTTGTGTCAGTTGAAATAGTAGTCAGCGCATGAGTCAGTTCTTTTTGATCGAGGCAACCTGCTAAAGGTGGGTATGTTTGTGATCTAGATCTAGATTCAGCAGATGAGAGAAGTATGTCACTGTCACTGTTTTCGGATGCCACAAACTGGAAATTACTATCCTTGAAGCTCAACTGCCTTTTGACAGTGTTTGGAGAACTTGGTAAGCTAACAGACAGTCTTCTCTCTGATCCAAAAAAAAAAAACAAAAAACTTTACATGAGCTGTTGGTAGCATGTAAAGATGAAAAGAAAGTATTCTCAGAACTACAAAAACGTTTACATATAGTTAACACAAGGATTTTTCTGTAAATAGTTAACAAGTAAGCAAAGATATAACCAAAAGATTAATAACAAAAAAAAAATTATTTCACTTAATCTTTTAAAATTAATATTTCAATATCCCTTCATGTAACAACTTAAGCATGAGTGCAAGGCAAGACATCAGTTATCACCTCCGGCAATGACATCTGCAGTAAGATTTCGTTGGTCAGTTTCTACCACATCTTCAACGCTACGATGCCAGGTTCTGCTGGGACTTCTGCCCTTAGAGGGTGTGCTGGACAAACTCTGCTTCTCTTTCTTCTTTTCTTTTTTGCCAGAAGCTAAAACAGATGAATGAATGAATGTCAATAACAATCAACAGATACCTTCATTTCATTTGTTATATTCATTTGGCTCTATCACATTAACTGAAATATGACCATTAAATGAAATGCATCCAATATTATGTACATATTACTTAAGGAAGTACACATAAGCATGCAAGAAACATTTGCAAAAATAAAATGAGTGCATTTACATAAACATGCATATGTATTTTTAGAATCAATACTTTTCCATCATAACAAGCTCTGACTATACTAAAAAAAACCCTGTGTAATGCAGCTATGGGACAAGAGAATGTTATCAAAAAGGAAAAAAAAACTTCTCCCAAGTTTTTGACAATTTCATACAAAACCAAGGAACTGTGGAACCCTCTTTCACAAATAGAAAGAAATCTGCCAAAAGGAGGAAGTGCCTCATCCTTGTAAGTTATGTTTCAAGCACAAGATTGACTTTTAGGCAAAACATCTAAAATATCCAGCCAAACCACTCTTAACAATGGCCCATCAGGAGTAAAAAGCTTTAAAATCCTCCATCAGTCTGAAAAATATCATCCCTAAATTTTCATGTCAAATAAATAACCTTACCCCAGTGGTGTGTGAACCAAAATGAATTGGCAGTGTGGTTGATGAATGTGCTAGCAGCAGGGTGAGCAATGAGGAGGAAATCGCACACTGTGACTACTATGTTAATATCAGGAGGACTCCCCATCATGTGACCTATGATCTTCACCATACTACTGCAGATTGGTAGTGGCAGAGAGGGACATGCCTCCTGGATCCTTTCCTGTGTGATGAAAGGGACAAAATGCATTGAACTTTAAGTAACTATCTCAATATGCTTTTAACTAATTATATGAGATCACAGCATTTAAATGTTTCCCTCCTCCATTTAACTATGGTATGGATCTTACAACTTAATGTGAACACATAATGGTTGTGGACACACCTGACAAAGCATTATAAAAATTACTGTAGAGGATACATCACTGTATACAATAAAGCACATGACAATAGTGCCCTCTAATGAGCCAGCACACTTGCAAATATAGTGGAATGAGACATTACAATGAGAAAGGCTGTTCACTAAAGAACAAACTCATTTGCTAGATGCTGGGACTACGTAAGTATGACAATAAGAAACAGTTCTGAAGACCAATGAATTTTTTAATGAGTTGATACAGTATAATTTATACTCTACCTGGCATGTAACTAACAACTTGTCCACAGTTTTAGCACAGTGGAGTTGCTGTCTATTAAACTCCCTATAAGGGTGTTGTTCTTTGATCAACTCCTCCAATGCAACAAAGCACAAATGCCACACTTCCACATTTCCTTTGTCCCACACTTTCCAAGCCAACAAGATCTCTCTAACAATACTGACATCTTGGATTATAGCTTTGGCATATGGAATAAATGAGTATGCCTTGGTCACTGTGTTGAAGTGGATGACTGATTCACTGAGGCAGGCATCCAGAAGAACCTAAAAAAATAATTGTCATTTTAAGTCATGGCATTTTGTTTCTGACTTATTTTTTGTCATTTTAAAATGCAACTGATCATAATTTTGTGAATATATTGAAACACAATAAATCTGTTACATACTAAAAGCTTGTAATATACTCACTTAACTTCACAAACATAGAACATACTCAAAGCTGGTTTTATCAAACAAAAAGGATCCAACTGCCATACCTTAAATGAATGACACTTAAAAAAAATTAGTAGAATACATTAATATTATTATCCTATTTTCCTACAATATCGGTATTATTAATACACTATACCTTCAAGACCTGAAAGCTGTTGATGAACTTATCAGTGGACATGACCTTGGCCAGCAGGGAGTATCCTGACATTTCCTTAAAGTCTTGGGCATGTTTCTTACTGTGTCTCAGTAGACTGAACAACAGGCGGAGAGCACTTGCTTGCTCCTGCTCTGTGGAGTTTTCCACCACCTATAACATAGATTTATAATTATTCACTGGTTGTCTACAGTAGGTTGTGAGATCAAAAAATTAAAAAGTAAACTGTATATAAATTCACAGAAGAATTTAACTGATGGCACAATCACAAACCCCTACATTAAATATTTAGCTGTGTATATGATGAATAGTTTGAACATTATCTGGCACACATTCCAAGTTTTTACAAATATCTGTTCACCCCTTTTCACTCCATAAAAATCATAAAATGACATTAAAAAAGTTTATAGCATGATCGCCATCTTGGCACATATTCCAAACTATTTCAAATAACACCTCTCTTCTCATGCTCTGAAAAAAAGGTCTCAAAATCACATTTTACCTTTGCAAACAAAAACAGGAAAACTCCAACTCCTCCTATCTCATCAACGGTGATTTCTATGCCGCGATGCATGAGAGGGATCACACTGGACTGCCCCTTGATTGGTTTCACCTGCAGAGGCTGCCTCAAGATCTTCTCACTGCTGGCCTTCTGTGCTGTGGACAGGGACATGGCTAGCCGTGTCAGGGTTTTGCCATCTTTTGGACCACAGGGGTCATACATGTTGACCTGTTGTGGGTTTTTTGGTATGTAGACCATGAGCAAGTTTTCCTAAAAAGCAAGAGTATAAATACACAATACTGTTTCATGGTAAATTTTGTCAGCTGTTTTGGAGAAAAATGATAAAATTAATGCCAAAAATTTGCTAACTTGGATGCCTGGTCAGGATGCTATTTATGACATGTTAGAAATTAATTTGAATTGGCTATACTGAAAACAGACTGATATAATAGGATGTAATACTAATACTTAGAAAACATCCATGTGAGTTAGTGTGTATGTGTGTATGTATGTGTGTGCACATGTTACCCTTAGAGGTTGCAGATCTTCACTCCTGTTGCCTATGAGGACCTCCTGATTGATACCAGCGGTGTCCAAAGACTGAGGATTGATATGGTACATGTAGATAGCCTCCTGTTCTGAAGAGTCACACTGGCTAACACTACAGCAGTCTGGGCCCAGGCCAAACAGATGGAAGGCAAGTCCTGGGGTGATCACAGTACCTGGGTGAGATGTATAATGTTAGTATCCAATGAAGAAATAAAGGTCAACTTTGTATGGAGAGCAAAGAGATGGAGGAACTTTTCACCACTGAACTGGTATCTGTAGTCTATCAAAATAGGTAAATTGAAAATTTTGTCTGAGACTTAAAGTACTATATAAGACGACTTTTTCCATTTAACAAAAGATGGAGAGGTTTTCTTCATGATGAATTCTCTTTTTCTTTGCACGGAAAATGTGCGAAAAAAAAAACTGCATATCCAAATTAAAAAATATAATATTTTACTCTATATTAATAGGCTTATTACACTAAACACCACAATTGAGGAACTGCTTAAACTAAGAAACAAGGCAGCAAAGCTGTCAAATGTACAGACAAAAAACAGAAAATAAAGATGCAAAATGGGTCATTTTGTCAATTTTGATGCAATAATAAAAAATGCCAAAATGTAAACAAGACAGCACTGTTCTGAATTTTTTTTTCCATTTTTAACAATTTTTAACATAAAACAAAATTAACAGTTTACTGTCATTTTTATATGATCAACTAAGAAAATTGATGAGATGGGAAAAATATCAATAGAGCAGTGTTAAATGTCCAATTTCTTCCATTCTGAGATTCTGAACATAGTGAATGATTGNTAAATTAGCCCCTACCTCTGAAGATCATCAAACTGCCCATCAGCCAAGAACCAGCAGAACCTGAGAGATCTGCCACTGTTTTGGAGTGACCCAGCCACAATTTAGCAAACGTTTTACTGGGTCTTTTCTGGATGAGTGTGTACTCAAGTTCCTTCTCTCTAACTTCCCCTCCATCCACCATCACTCTAACCTGAAGTAAAGATGAAACTAATGCTTATAGACCTTTTTACAGGGCTTACATAAAAAGAAAGCTCATGTTAGGAAGCATTTTATCTTCTTTGAAGAAAAACTACACATTTTTAAAAATAGCTATAAAATACAGACAAAAGGCATTCATAAATACAATTGCTTGATATCATATAAAATTAACAACAAATTGCAGTGCATTGAATATTTTGGACAAATTAAAACACTTTTAGAAGGCAATCCTTGACAAGGCAAGTAGCAATGAAAAAAAAATTCCAAAAAATCTTCTCAGTGATAAACATTCAACTGAAAAGATGATTATGGTAAAAAAAATCCCAGAAACTTACCACTCCACGCAGAGCTTTGGAAGAAAGCTCAATAGGCTCAGAGTACATCAGTGATACGTGCTGCCATCTATTGGAGGAGAGAGCACCAGCCAACTGCACATCTGTCAACACTTCTTTCTGCTGGGTTATTCTAAAATCAATAGCAAATAGTATTTAATAATTCGCCTTGCATGAAGATATTTCATATATGTACTAAGTATTCAATGTATTTTATTTTCTGTATATATATTACATACATATTCTTCTAAAATAACAAGATCCAACTGTTCTTATGTCACCTAATTTCTAGAATCATGCAATTGCATTTATACCACTAGCTACTTAAGCTAAAGAAAATGAAGAACAAATTAACTTAAAAATAACTTATGAATTACATGTAACTCTTAGATTAAAATAAGATGTTTATGTTTTTTTTACAATATAATAGTACCCACCTAAACACAATTATACCAGTGGAGGGATCTATCCAGACCTCAAATATCACATCAGCTGTCTTCTCATTGCAGCCAACAGACAACACATGCAAGTAGCTATCAGTCAGGAGCCTCTGTGAAGAGTTCTTCCTTGTCAGTTTGCCTTTATTATCAAAATACTTGGCACCATTACTTCCCTTGGTCATGGACCCACCATTCTTATTGGCTTCAGACACTGGAATAGAGGAACTTCATTACAATTTCTTCTGGATATAAAACCTACATTTCAATAAATGCTATGGGCTAGATTTAGAAAATGCCTGTGCTGCAAAAATTCAGTTAAGTTCTATCATCCCTATCCCAAATTTTTCAAAGTTATCATGAAGTTCTTAAAATAAATATACAACCATAATTACCTGAATTTTCTTCACTGCTCTCTGTGAACATTACAGACTTGCCCCTCTTTCTCGCCTTCTTTGCTTTGTTATAGGAGATTTCATCCTGTCCTCCTCTCACCAGGCGGAGCCACAAAGATGTACTGAACCCTTCCTTCCAGGTGACTTTATCTTTGAACTCTATCTCAACAGGAGCATCACAGCTCAGAGATACAGTATCACTGATACCCAGGCTTTCAGTCACTCTGTTAAATAAACTGCTTCCTGAAAACAAAGATGGTTTCTTTTTCTTCTCCTCTTTTTCATCCAATGAAATGCTCCGTAAAAGACTGTCTTCCTGTAAGGAACTTGCCGAGGAGTTCCTGGTCGAGGCAAACAAGCTTATGGATCTCTGTACACTCTGATAAAAACCTTGAGCTGCCAGGGAGACTGTTTCTTCCAATACATGTGACGAGTCGGGCTTGGTATTTGGAAACTGTAGACAATACGTTGGCTGGATTTCTATACTCTCGGTCAGTTTGTTGAGAAGAGTCAACAATGCATCCTGAGGAAAAGGATCCGTAATGATTGTGAAATCAAATAAAAAAAGGGATAATTAAAACATACCCTTTTTATCTTTAACAGAAGTACACTTATGGCAACAAATTCTAATGTAGTACTGCATTAATAAATACTATGATATTTACAGTGAAGTACACTGTATTTTCAAAGACTGAATCAGATGATATATCTTATATTCAACCATTTTAATTTATGGTCAGTTTTATCTTACCAAAGGTGGATCAGGTTCATTAATCATCCTTAAGCATATCTGCAGCTCCTCAGAAGAAATGGAGTGTCTTGCCAAGTAGAAACACAACTCTAAAACAAATTCTTGTGCCACTAAAAATAAAACACATATTCGTACATTCATATTCCAAAGATAACAGATAAATGTCTCATAAAGTCAAAATGGTTAACTTTACTAAATCATTCTGATTCAGCATTATTTCAAAATGAAAAAAAAATTACCTCTCCATTCCTTGACAGACTTCGTCAGAACCCCATGAAATCCATTCAAAAGAACACTTAGCAACCCCTGAAAGTAACATAGTACAAACAGCATCAGCATCAGGAAAGGCCCCCTTTCAATCACAAACTTAGAAACCAAAACTTGCACATGAAATCCTGACAATTTGAAAATGTTTAAAATGAACTAAGTAAACATTTTTTTACATCTTCTATTGCTTTATTTACAGAAAAAAAATATATTTAAAGAATATATTCTAATCATCTTAGTACAGAAGTCAAACACCAGCCTTCATAGACAAGCAGAAGCGTATAATGGGGAATAGGTTCAGTCAGTCAGCTCATCTCTAACAGGCAAAAGTAAATTCAAATATTAAATCACACACCTGACCATTGTGTGTATTTTATCCCCTACTAAGCCTAGCCTGCTTAAAGATTACCTGGTTATAGAGTGACTGTACATTGGCTGGTGCATCTTTCACCAGAGCAATAACTTTCTGTGCCACACAGTTCACTACTGGTACATCATGGAGGCAGTGTGAGGAGAGCAGCCTCATGGTAACTGTCACAACTTGTGGGAAGATCACCTGGTGCTTGTTCACACTGGGAGGCATAGACTGCATTCTTTTATAACTAGACCTGTTAGCTGTAATATAGAATATTTCCAAAAAGTTGAAGTAAATTATCAGCATTTCTTATAGATTTCTAACTTGGGAGATGTTTGTAAGTTGCTGTAAATCACTGTGTTACATGTAGTAATTGGGGTTATTTCTCATAAGTATGTCCAGGAAAGCTGCATTCATAGAAATTCTGTGATAGGTGTTGAAGTATATAAATAGCACTGTAAAACAGTTTGTGTGGATGATAATCTAAATTTTCCAATCCTAACTGGCTTCATAAATTAATCAACAATGACTAAAAGGAGACTTACCATGATAATTTTTCAAAAACAACTAAAATATTCAGATTTGTGAAATAATCATATCTAGTTTACCTTTCAACAAGTCACTGGCATCTGTGGTGTACTCCTCGTCTGCCTCATAGCCTGCCTCATTGCTCCCAGGCTCACTGTCGCGTCCACTTCCCAGGTCACTCAGCTCCAGCAAGTCTTCTTCTCCCTCTAGGAAATCATCCTCTTTCAAATGCTGCAAAATTAGGATAAATCACAATCATTATGCCCCATTACACACTCTATATAAGATACTTACAAAAAAATCTGTATTTTTAGATTCAAATTTAATATGCACCTAAAAATGTCTTTTTAAAGAAAAGATTATAAATGATATCAAAATTGAAGAATGTCAAAAAAAAAAAAATTTGTGAATGAACTAATCTGCAGGTTCACATGTATAACAAACATATTCTTCATATAGGCAAAAATGTCCATAAATAAATAATATTCTCACCATGAGTGCCAGACTGCTAGAGGCCAAAGGATCCTTCATCTTTTCAGAGGCAACAGCACAGTTTAGCAAAGTATCACATAATGCTATGACATGACTGGCATTTGTTGGGAAATTATCATTCAAAATGCAGTATACTTTCTCTGATAGTTCAGTTTCTGTCAGACTCTGAAAGATAATTTAGAGAATAAGGCTGTATTCCCAGAGCTTTTAGTTCAATCTATCCCCGTGGGGAGTCTCACTAGATTACTGTCAGATAATCCGGCTTAAATGTCCGTCCCGCCTACTACAAGCTGTAAGGGGGTAACTAACTTTCGTGTCCGCTCGGCTGACAGCTATTTAGCGTGAACCCCCAGGGAATTAGGTCGATCTAAAGTAGATCGATCTAATCTCTGGAAATGGGGTCTAAGTGTGTCATTTTTACCAACCTGTGCATGCATGAATGCAGACATGCACCCACACAGCTACAAAGTGACCAAAAGAAGGTACATATATAACATTGGTAAATATCAATATCGTCCTGGGAAATGACCAGGACTTTAATACATAGCATAAAGTAACTCTTCAAAGGTGTACACTTACCTGTTTCCCAAGAGAATCCTTGGCGCAGCAGCGAAGGCAAATTTTGACCAGAGCTTCTATAAGTAGTAATTTATGCTTGAGAACAGTGTGGGGGTCATTACTTGGTTTGGTCAGTAAAACCTGAGGCACTTTGGTATCCTCCTGAAAAATACCATTCATCATAATATATTTAAATCATTTGATATCTTTAACTATTTCTTTTTCATGCATGATATCTTTAAAGAGAAGACTGAAAATCTATTACAGTCTATTTTAAACTAAAACAAAATGTCTACCTTTACTGTGACGTGTCCGCTACATTTGTACAGTTAAATTTGAATCTCAAGAGTCAAACAAATGAACAAACAAACGCATGCATGCACACACCCTTCAGTTAAGTGTAAAAGTTTAAGTGAAAGCTTACCTGCAGGCTTTCCCTTGGTGTGCCTGGATATGAACATTCAGAAATTGTAGCAGAACCAATGCTTATAGTATCAGTAACAGAGTCTGCTTGGGTGCAGCCATCCAATTCAATGTTTTCCTCAAATGGTTTCTCTTTTTCTGTCACCAACTCCAACAACTTTAGCAGCAAGCAATAGGCAGCACCAGGCCCACCTTTTCTCGTGAAAAGGTCCTCAAATGGTTTACTGTTTTGAACCAGTCTTTCAGCTGTGCTCCATATATCAGACAAAGATGACAATACATTTGGAAGCAACTGGTCTTTCATAAAAGCTCCAAACTTTCTGCTTGACCCAAAGTCTGTTTCATCACTTTTATCCATATCTTCATCATCTGATTCAAGCAATAACTCAAGAAAGGCTGGAATTACAAACTCTGCAGAGTAATATCTTGGGATACTGGCCGCCTTTGATGGGCTCTGCTGAAGTGAAGATGGTGGCACCCTGGTATTGGTTTTACCACTGGGACTGTAGTCTGGACTTGCCATTTTCTCAGCTTCCTTAACATCTGCAGTAATTAGTACCTCAAATACTTTCAGAACTGGCTCACGCAGATTGTCCTTGAAGACCAGGCTACAGAGGTGCTGAACTCCATCTTGCAGCAAGAACAACTCCTGAGTAGGTTTGGCTTGAAGAAGGTGTGGTAGAGCACCCACCACATATTGTGATACAACCTCAGGAAAGTCGTTTGTCTTTGAGCTTTTAATTCTTTGAAGGAGGGGCAGGAAAACACATCTGAACAGCTCATGCTTCAACTCATCACCACTGTGATAGCCCAGTCTCAACAAGTGCTTTGCAACCTGTGAGCTGACTGTCTCATTTTCCTGCATAATGAGGTCAGAGAAAACTTTGAGCACCATCCATTTGGGCTTCTGTTGATCTTGATTGTCACTCTGTAAGCTAACTTCACTGCTGGACAGAGCACTATCTGAGGCTGTTATTTTCTCCTCTATAGTCTTCTGTGTGTGATCAGCTGGTGTAAACACAGGGGGATTTTTGGTGCACACACTGCATGGATCCATTTTATCAGCACCAACTTTGGCTCCACCACATTGCTCCAAAAGCAGTTTGACTAGAATAATCAAAGTGTAGTTTCTCAGAGACTGGCTTTTCTTACTGAACCCTTGCAGCATGGGCTTGATCAAAAACTCTGGAGGAATGCAGCAGCACAGTCCTGAATTGTCAATACAGTATAGTATGTTGGTTAAAGAATACCTAGATTGCACCGATTTGAAAAGTTTGAGCAAAAACAAGGCTATGGCTGCTGCAGCACAAATGGATCCTCCTACAGAATCAGACAACTGTCCTTCCAACTGCTGGCCATCTATACTCCCCTGACTGTCACTCTGCAGGAAGAGGTGTTCTTCTTGGAGAGAGCATGCCTCCCCCAGGGTGTCGTGATGGTGGTGGATATAACGATGGTACGTGCTCATGCATGCCTTGTGTTTCTTCTTGAGGCATTTAATAGCATGGATGTAGTCCACCTTGGCTCTCTTTAGTGCATCCATCACTCTTACCAGGCACGACAACAGCTCTTGGATATGCTTAGCAGGAGCACTCACTTGTTTTGTTGATCTATTCTCTTTGATTGTTTCGTCCAAGTACTTGATTACACTTTCAACTAATTCAAAGCCTTTTGCTTCTTTAAAATCTGTGAACAGTCTAAGAGCATTGTTCAGGTATGTCAAATTACAGGGAAGATTATCAAATACAACCTCCAACAAAAGCAGAATACCTTTGAGTATGTCCAACAAGAAACTGGTGTCTCCTTTAACAATGGTGGCAGTGATTTCTTTTTCACTTCTGTATAGTGAATTCAGTCTAGCATTTGTCAATGCTAACCTGGCTACATCAAGGAGTGTAGGGATGAGTCCAATTTCCACTAAAGCCAAGCCCCCTGTGTCTGATCTGCGGCTAAGCACAGCCGAGAGAGCAAATATAGCTCTTATCAGATGTCTCTCAAATGTGATCACTTCTTGCTGTGTCCAGCCTCTAAGGAGAGCATGTTGACTTGGGTCATTGTCCTTGTGTAGGTCAGAGAGAAGCTGAGTAAGCAGGGGGAGCACATCAGCTGAGACGCTTCTACTGGGCAATATTGGAGAAATATCACTTTGGCACACATCCTGAACCAAAGCAAGCACCAAAATACATAACTCCAGAGGGCTGACATCTTTCTTTCCAAGCTGCACCTCTTCCTGCTTTCCCTTCTGGTCAAATGATTGAGCATAATCACTCAGGAAGGCAAAGTCTTTAGAGAGAGTTTGAAGTGAGGTGTGTAATTTTGCCTTGGACTTCTTTCTTCCAGCAGAGTTCTCATTTTTGTCTTCCTCAGACCCTGATGTATCAATATGCACTTCAGAAATGTTGACCTTCTGTTGTCTCTTGTTGGTGGAACGCATGTCCAGAAGGTGGCGCCCTGCCAAAACATGGCTCCTCTTGGATGCAAGTGATGCTCCATGCTGTAGACATTGCTCTAAGTCTTGAAGCTCGAACTCAACACCTGAAGGAAAAATAAAATGATGAGACACTGAAGGAATACTGGATACTGGCAACAAAAGCCTACTTGCACTTAAATCCTTAAAAGTTTGTAAAACACTACCAAATTATTGTTATCAAAACTTAAAGTTTAAAATTCAATACAATGTTTATGCCATATTTTTACCAGTTTGAGCATCTCCTTTTCTTTTTACTACTGGAAATCCACAAGTTAAATTGAGCAAGGATACCAGTAGAGTGACAAATTCTTCCCCACATGTAAGGTTCTGAAAAAATATGAAAAACACAATGGCAAAAATGAATGTTAATAGGCTCACAGTAAGAATCTATTCCAACTGCAGGATAAGAGTAATATATAGTGTTTTCCCCTAACTATATTGTCTATTTAAAAACTATATTAGATATACTTAATACTGAAAAAAAAACAACAAAGCATTACCCAATGTAATACAAAAAATATCATACTGTATATGTAACAATCAATACAGAATATTCAAAATCTAATCTTCAATGTCCTTGACTTTGATCCCAACATCAACACTGAATGCGTGATTACCACATGAAATGATAAACAAACAAGGAAATAAAGAGCCCAGGCAGCACTGGCATCACCCTAGCTTTCAGCTTTCAGGTCCTCACTGTTTAGCTAATGATTAACCAACCAATGGTGAACCAGTAAATGACAGTGCAACATTTAAGGACAACATGTGATCACTAACTAAAACATTTGTGTAATCAAGCTAATATTTTGCTTTATACATTTCACAAACAGAGAAAATCATATCACACCAAGTATTAAAACTGTCATTATTCTTTTTTTTCATTAATTTGCACTAAACATTCCTAAACAATAATAATACCTTTACACCAATGTGTTGCAAGACCTGTAGCAACATCCATCCTCTCTGTTCTAAAAGGTAATTCACCACTCCAGATGCATCGTCCTCACTCTTGGCGCTGTTACAAAGCCGTTGAATATCAGCCATAAATTCTGTCGCCAGAACATTGCCAACACTCTGCATATCACTGGAAATACAGTAACAGACATGTTATATATGTATAAGCAAATCTCTATTTACATGTAGCACACACAGATCCAGTTCACTACATATCCTAGTTCTAAATCCCTCAGGGGTTCAAGGACAGGGAAAAGCCTATCCCCCTCACATCTTATGATAGCCCTCAGGCACTGCATTGTGTGCAGCCAATCTTTGGCATCTTAGCCATCTATGAGAAAAATCAAATAAATTTCACTCATATGACTGTGCTTAACCTATAGTATGGATTCTTTGAAAAGAAAAATATATCAAAATACCTATCCATGTTAAAGAATTTGAAGTTAAGGAGACTTGATTCAGCACCACAGTCCTCTCCTTCCTATATATATCTGATATGTGATACATTACCCTGTGGCCCACTATTATATCTTAAGGGTATCAATCTGTTGACATAACTAGATAAAGAGTTATGCCAGATCTATAGTAGCAAGCAAGCAACAGAGAGAGAGAGAGAGGTTAATATAAAACGTACATCAATTGAAAAACTTAAGCAACTTTTAAGCTGAATCTATCCAACTTTTTGATAGCCCCAAAGTAATCTTGATGGATGGTTGCTAACAATATAAGGTTTGAAAAGTTTTGAGTTCTCAAAAAAATTACAATCTTTATGTATGTTTATTTATGTACAATCTTTACTTGTATAATAAAATTCTTGTTATATACCTGTATTTATAAGATTTTATCTTTCTCGGTCACTTGCCTGATAAATGTAAGGTGCTAAACATTAATGGGGTTAACATTTAAACTCCATCACTACAAAATCTTATGGGTTCTTTATAACTAAAGAGTTACTGGCTTATAAAATTAGTCTTGAAATTTATGCACAACCAAGTGAAAAATCTAATCAAAATCAATAGCATAAAGAAAAACAAAAACAAAAACAAACAACCAAGTGCAATTTCTATTTCCTTCAGTAAATATAGCATCATAGCTGTAGCATTTGAGAAATAATGTGCTAATGTGAGCAACTAAATAGGTAAGTTCTAAAACAAAATATTACATCTTATTCAAAAACAAATCTTAAAACAGACAAAGCTTTACATATGATCCAAGTCAGAAGTCCTCATTTTACCTAAACTTCAAAGAACTCTTGGTTATGCCTGTCTCTTCTTGGCTGTACAGTTCCTTCAAATACAGTTTCAAAAATTGATCCAGGCATGATGATCGCAGCTGAAAGAAAGATAAAAACCAATATTACCAGAACATACACGAAAATAACACTTCAAATGTGTCAGGTACATTAATTTTGTATAATTATATATATATATATACAAGTCTTTCAGTATTTTTTACCTCTGCAATACATCGAGAACAGACAATCATGATGTTCCCGACTGTACATAATAACCAAATGTGCTTTCTGACCATGTGGCATGTTTCTATACTGGGGATGCGATGTACTAAACATTATGCTATAAATCATGAAAATTTCTAGATGCCTTTAACTAGATAATGATGAGACCATTACTACCAAAATCCATCATAAAAACAATTCTGATAGTTTTCAAAGCTGATAAAAGTCCTCTTTTGCAACAAAAATTAAAAAACCCTTTAAATTTTGGTTTTTAATATGAATTTTAATTTAAAAAAAAATAAAAAAATTTAAAGTCATTGAAAGCACTAGTATATGATTTATCTATTTTTGCACATCTCATGTAACAGAAATCGTCATGAGACATATCCCGAGGCAATGATGTCAACTCTAACACGATTACAAACTTTTATACATGCACATGATAATGTCTGTACCATCCTCAAGGAGCCCTAAACTGCCTCTAGTTAAATAAGTAAGTTCATTCATATATATATGTACCACATCTCAACATAATCTTGTTCCAAAGAATAAATTCTTAATTACTGCAACATTGAACAATTTTTAATAATGTCAGTCTTATCTTTAGTTGTTTAGAACAAACCTGTTGAACTATCAAAATAACTGAAATAAAATATTCATAAACAATAAACCATCCTTGATTATAATGAAAATCTAGAATAGACATACTAGTAAATATCCCTTGCTTTGGTTGAATATCAAATTTCCCCATTTCACAGTTACACACAATATGATGAACTTTGAAATGCACTCAGTTATTCATGAAAATTCACGTTTTGAACAAATGATGCATAGACACCCTGAAACCTGATTCATGAGTAGAAAATTCTCCAGACAAGTTTCCCAAGATGATAACAGCTTACATTACTGAAAAAAAGGGTTAACAAGTCATTCCTAATGAAAAATGAAGACAGGGATATATTTTATAAGGAAAGACATATCAGTCTGACAAAATTTCATTCATTCATGATTTCAGTATTTAAAATATTTAGCATAAAATTAAATAGCATAAAAGCCTTGGAGGGTAGACTTAACAACTGAAGAAATATATATTGCACGATACTAAAAGAGCGCAGAAGTGTAGATCAAGACATTTATACAGATCTCTAAGATTGCAGCAATTTATTATTGTATAGACCTGTAAGATGGTCAGGAGGTCCTCAGTTCCAGGGAATATATGTCAACCTGGGTGATCAATGTGAGAAAGTGGTAATTAAACTGCAATAATCTTCATGGTTCTACCTTTAAATCAACATTTAATAGTGACCTTGTGGCCATAAAATAGCCTTCCATTATCGAAACTTTGTAGATTTAATCAGATAATGCTTCATTCAAATTGATCAAATGTATCTACCTGCTGTATATGTACGGTGAACTATATGCAGTATATCTACAGTATTTCAACTTATCTGCTTAAATACAAGTATTTGTTAGATGTAATTAGGCAACAGCCAAGTGAGCCAGAAGAATTTACAATGAATGAATAACTGAAAATTTAATTCATTAATATTAATCAATGTTCATGTGTTTGTTAACAAGTTTTAAGATGGCACTTGAAGATGTAAATAAACAAATCCATGTACTATGAAAATAATCTCAAACCTGACAGTTGCACTGATTGCGTTAGAGATGTCTCAACACGAAGACAGCATTTCTCTTGAAAAGCCACATTAAACTATAAATCCCTATGACATCTATAATGCATAGCATGTAATCAAAACTGTTTAACAGAAACACTGGCCTCACTGAACTTATCATGGGTTTTTAAAAGTCTAAAGTGTATCATTTTAACTGATTAATCTGATGATCAGCAGATAATCCTATTGTCATGTTGATATAACATTATATACTGCGATTAGGTTTGATCTAATACAGCTTATACCATCAAATGTGGTAAAAAAAAAGGTAAAACCATTACCATGTCACATTAATATAACGAGTCATAACTTAAAGATACAAATGAAACGAGAGTAAATACCTTAATAGTAATGTATATAAATTATTAGCACCAGAATTTTAAACAACACAAATAAAATCCACATGTCAAGACACACCTGAAATGAATCTATCTGGTAGCATAAAGTGGCTTTAAAATGTATCTCCTTTCTTGCCTCCTGCTAGGCAAAGGAAGTATATAGTAAGCAGAAACGAAATTAATATCTGTTCAAATATCCCTTTTAGGGTAAATAATGATTCAGAAATTAACACTGTGGTAGTTTAATACAGTTATACTATATGTAGTTGAAATCATATGGTTGCATTCAGTTTTTAAAATCACACAACAAGTAGAAAGGCAAGGAAAACTGATAAAAAAAAAAGAAAATCCAGTTTTGGATATCACAAAATGTATAAATATATACCTTGAAGGTACATTCAATTTTTAAAATCACACAAAAAAGTAGAAAGGTAAGGAAAACTGAAAAAAGGAAACGGGACCATTTTTCAACTTGACTAATATCAAACTCAAAGCCTTATTATTTGAATTATACTGGTACGTAGCAACTTAATTAGAACAAAGCAATTTCTGCTTTTTAGCTACATTGCTGATATGATAATGTGCAGTGCAGGTAAACATGTTAACTGTCACATAGCACAGCTAGATTAGGTCAGGTGACAAAAAAAAAATCCTGTCTTGTGAAAGACGACAAGTTGTTTTCTGCTTTAATTATTCTAACAAGATGTAAACAACTTATCAAAATGTGACAGAAAGCATACATTTGTAGTGTAATATAGTACTCTCATTTGATCACACTAGTAAATATAATAACCTTAAGATCACTATGTCATCATAACACACTAAGCTTTTATAACCATATAAATATAAATATATGCTGCATATTATTCATCATCTGTTTCCGTGTCTGTGATAATTGTGAGATAGCGAAATTGGTGCCTGGTCATACTGTACTGAGTTTGAATCCCACCAGTCTGGATGCTTGGCCACTGGTTCAATAATTTATTGTTTCAAAAATCAATGACAACAACAACAAAAAGATGGAGAAAAGCTCAAGTTTCACAAATAACATTTTGGTTCAAAAGTCCAAAGTTTCAGTGGTCTGACAGAGATCAAGAGAGTTCACTGGTTGGAAATCACCTCGAGAGTTTGTTTTAAAACAAAGTTCAAATTGACCCACCAGTTCCCTAATGCATTGGTTCATACAACAGTAACATAGACAATGTAATTCAAAACGATAAACCTCTGTACAAAGATAAAGAGTCAAACTGTTTTAGACTGATGTAGATCTAGCGCTAGTCAAATGAACCATCACAGCATGTAAGGTGAAGGCTATATACTGTACTGTACATGTATGGACTTTAAATCACCAAGCCAATGAATTCACCTCAACTTACCAGGTGGTTCAAATTGTCGGTGGGTGCAACCATAAACCTATCCCAACTTCTTCTTAGTACTGTTCTTTCCATATTTTGGTGTATGACGCTTCTCACTGATCAAGGTTCTTGTGACACTGACAACCTTGTTGTGTCATAAGACAAATCCACATTGTTGACAGTTGAGGCATTCAAGTTTCGACATTTGCCCGGAAGAACAAGCTCTGAAAACTGCACATATATTGGTTCATCTTTCCACATATACCATATGCCCACGTGTTTAAATCTACAAATCACGTTCACTTTGTAATACCAGCGTTTTACAATGGTATTTTGATCGCCATACAAACTGCACAGGAAGCTGCCATCTTGTGTCTTGACCTCATTATGTAAGGTGATCAGAACTCGCGATGATTAACCTACTTTTTCAAGCTTGAGCAATTTCAGTAACAAAGGGATATTACTTAAATCAAACATTAAATCATCTTAATTTTACTTATTTAATACGCATTCGTTTTGCCATTTTTTTACTTTGATCAACGTAGCAACCTGAGAGAAAACGAAACCCGTCCGTAGGTAAATTGAAGCTAACGCGCGTGAATACACTGTAAAATTCATTTAAATACTTTGACATGGTCTATGTAAATGTAAGGTGTTTGTCAAGGCTTTATCCTTCAGTTACTTTCATGGTTTAATTTATTATCAATAATTTAACATATTTCGCGATAACACATAGCTTTTTTCCGCCAAACAAGCACTTGCGCGCATTTGGTTTAACAAAATGGCCGACCACATGCCAGCAGACGACGTACTGACTGGAATTCAGCTAAGGAAAAGAAGGAAACGGTCCATAATAACGCCTTGTGAATTACAAAAGCTGAACCAACTTTACAAGCGTGACCATTGGCCTTCAAGGGGTAGTAAAGCGCTGCTGGCAAAGGAAATAGGCAAAAACACAGAATTTGTCACAACGTGGTTCCAAAACAGGCGCGCCAAAGCTAGAAGGGAGAAAGAACTTGTTATAGCGGCCCCAAAACCCTTTAACAAAGTATCATCTACAAAAATCAATCTGACAATGGCAAGTGAAAATATTGGACCTTTGAATGCAGAAGAAGAAAAAACAAGTCCAGTTGAAGAACAACCTGTTAATAAGGTGTGCTCTTACAATGTCCACATGTAGACTAAATCTTTATCTCATAAAGATGATCAAATTCTAAGAATATTAATTACAATTTTATTACCTGAATTTGTTTAATATTTATATTGATTTTAATTTGTAAAAAATTGACAAGGTTTTTGCTTTGTTCTGAACCGTTTCAGGAAACATTAACTGAAACAAAGGACACGGACTTGGGCTATTTCAGCGGAAACCTGAGGAATGAATTTGACACAGTACAACAAGCAAACATCCCACCATCTCTGTTCAGAGATATTGTTTTGATGATGGCTCTTGCTGAAGGTGGCATTGTGAAACCAACTGATGTAGACTTTGGAAGAGCAGTTAATAATCATTTGTATGGAGTCAGGCTTGGAAACGGGAGCAGACTTTTATATTCCAAAAGAGCTGGGTTTTTCTTTAAGGAAAGTCCAAACTTTTAGAAATATTTGTTTTAAAGATACTGTTACGAGTACACATGGTTTACCAGACCTCTTATTGCATTTTGTAGATAGAAGCCAATCATCCTTTAAACCTCTTCACTTGTGTAATTTTACAGTAATGCAATGCAAGGTTTGTAATCTTCTGGAATGGGATGTTAGGCCATGCTAGATGAAGTCACTGGTTTACAATAGTTCCAAGAAATGTCATCTTTTTTTGGCCAAGAACCTGAAATGACCTGGTGACAGCAGACTCCTTTTGCCATTTTTAAGTGATGCTGATATTAAAACGGGTCCAGTGTATTTACATATCTGAATTAACAGAAACTAATTTCTCTCATTGAGCACAATTTAAAAATTTCATAGAGGTGTGGGTTTTAAATTAGATTTCAAATTATAATAGTTTTTAAATGTATTTGAATTGAATTTTAGGGGAAGTCAAGACTGCAAGGTGAAAATTATAATTAAGTTAAATTTTAATCAAAAGAAACAATATAGACAATCTTTTACTTTACTGAAAAATTTTCCGACACCTGTAATAGAATTTATGCCTGTTGAATCTTTTAGTTTTACCAGGATATTGATTTTCCTGAAATGCTTAACAAAACTCATAATATAATTACTGCAATATTGCTTTACTAATTGGCATTTTAACAAGACTTTTGGAATTCTAAAAATAAGTCCATTGACACATTTCATTCGTGACTTTCCAACTTGCTTCTTAGATATGAAGACGGAAGTTGCACCCTCTTTATTAACATTGACATATCTTACACCTTAAATAATATTGCCTTTATTTCTTCAATTCCAGACATTTTTTTGTCTGCACATGGGTACACTTACAAACTGGGATACATTCCACCTTGTATTTAACATTAACACTGTCAATTTATTTCTGTATAATCTGACTCACAATGTGTGTATAGTTCATAATTTAGTGGGTTGAAGTGCTTCAATCAAAAAAGTTAATTTACTAGCTGTAAGATATGAAAGAGCTTTTAACCAATTAAAGTGTCAATTCTTGCTTGTCAATAATTAATGTCCAGATTTTTTGAAAATTTATACCCGGCATTCTCCTTTATCTCTTTTTTAATTTGAGGAATCTTTTACCTGTATTGTTGAATTATCTAGATTATTTCGACATTTGTAACAAGTTATTTGATTTTTGTCTTACACTGTATGAAATATATTTGACTGGAAAAATAAATGTTTGTAATTAAATTAGGACCTTTGTTACAATTTATGCCAACAAATCTACTTAAAAGTCTTAATCTAATAACGTGACTCTCTTCCATAACGTTTTTCACTTCGCTGTGCTCTGGAACCAGATCTTGGTTTAGGTGATGACCGCGATCTTGATCTTGATCTGAGAACAGAAAAACACATCTGTTTACCAGTTTTATGATTTGCATTGTTTCAAACCAAATTATCAGTTTTATAATTATACATTCAACAAACACAATTATCATACAAAAGTTTTCCCAAAAGTATGCTTACAATCAATCTTTGCATGATTTAATGACTGAACACCACAACAATTTTCATTGCTTTATTATCACCTTCTATGTTTCCGATTTCTTTGGTGTGATTTAGACTGGGATCTGGATCTTGACCTTGACCTACTGCGACTTCGACTCCAGTTTCGATCCCATCTGCTCGATTTACTATGCTTTTCTTCTACTTCCCGTTCTCTATGGCGTCTCTCCCTTTCTTTGCGTCGCAATTCTATCATTCTTGCACGAATCTCATCTTCTCGATTCTAAATTTGAAGAAAATATCTGCTGAGTAATCATTCTGACTATAACAACATGTGAAAAGTTGCAAAGTAGAATCAGGAACACAAATTTCCAAGTTAAAATAATCTAAATTTATCATGGAATTGAACTTTACATGTATTGCATACCATTTGTTCTTGAACCTGCTTTTCTTGCTTCTGTGCTTCAGCTTTTTTGTCTGCTTTGTCTGCAAATAATAATAATCAATAATATAAACTTTTTCAAACTTGATATATCTAGATATGCTATTAATACCCCAATCTTCTGTTTAGAACAATAATCCACACATTATTCTTTTCATACTTACATTGTTTGTTTAAAGCTGCCTGCATCTTCCTTTTCAACTTTTCTTGTGGGGTAAGGTTTGTCTGAAACTATCAAAAGACCTTCATTTTGTAACTGCCACATTTGGTATCAAGAGGAAAAGAAACAGCCATTTCATACCCATTATCAACTACTGACAGTGATTCCAACTCAAAAAACAAATCTATATTATCTGTATACAGACATTAACACTCAACTCAAGAAGGAGAAACTCAATTAGAACCATGACTGGTTTCTTCTGAAATATTCTATGATAAAAGCACCCATGTCCCTGAGTGAAAGAGTTTAATAGAAATATATTGAGGTTCTTACTGACTTTGGATGCAGCTGCACTTTTACCATCCCCTATTATTGGTTCCAACCTGAAACAAAGAGGCATGTTCCATTAAAAAAAGATCGACTTAACAAATTGCACCAAGCAATGCCTCAGTTAAATTCCTAAAATGAATAGCTGTAGTTGTCATTTATTTATATTTGAGACACTTTAATATTCACTTTCATTACAGATGTATTACAGATTTATTACAAATTACAGATGTATTAATGCCATACAATGCCAGTTTTTACCCCCCCCCCCTTACCTTTTCTTGTAACCCTTGTCATCTTTTTCACTTTTCTCTTCTTTTTCTGTGTCTGATCCAATACTGTCATTGGAAGAAAGACTTGGGCGTCTATAACTTTTAATCACTGGCTTTTGGACCTTTTTCTTAGTTGGGGAGGAAGATCTAGACCTTGACCTGTATCAAATAATTCAAATTTGCAGTTGTAAAAAACAAAAATGTTTATATGTGTTGGAACATCATTAATAAAATTTCTTCGACTGAACATAAAAATACATACTACAGTACCATGATGACATGCCAAAAAACAGCATAAAGCCTTTATGTGATATAAAATGAAATCATTTGGACTAAAAATCTAAAACATAATACCTTGAAGAGGAAGCCCTCTTCCTTCTTGATCTTGACCTTGATCTAGATCTGTGATACCTAGATTTCGACCTTGACCTTGAGGATCTGGAGGATCTACTCCGACTTCTAGAAGACCTTGATCTAGAACTTTTTCTTGACCTACTTCTAGATCTGCTTTTGGAACTTCTGCTGCTAGACGTGAATCTTGATCTTGATCGAGATCTGCTGTCTGACCTGATCCTTCTTGATTTAGTTGGTGATTTTGATGTACTTTTTTTCAACCTAGGCTTGTCGGGCCTGAAAGACAGTAAGATATTCATTTAATGTTGTGCAGCATATAACAAGATACATCGATATTAAATATTTTATAGTGCATGTTAGACAATTTTAACCATGTGCACATTTTTACAAAAATAAACACAGATTCATCTCTAAATCCATTCAAAGTCATATAGCAACCTGCTTGAAAGCTTGTCGTTTAATTCCCCATTAGACACTAAATAGAATCCCCGCAGGGATTATGCAACAAGCATTCAAGTGGGTCGGCCATATTTGATCCGCAGATCTGTCAGTCCACTGTTCTGAATGACATCTTATAAATATATCCACGTTTTTCAAGGATCATTTGATCTCTACATAATTCTATTCACTTACCCAACCTCGCTTTCTCCATTAAGCACCTATCTCAATCCAGTTTAAAGAAGAAGCCAAATTCTTCACTACAGAAACAACAACTTCTGTACTATGTAAAACTGTTTGATGTAGTAACATATTATCATCTCAATTTTTGATATCTATCTTAAATAGAAATTAAAAAGACACCGACCACGAGGGTCCCCGTGATTCAGAAGTTAATAGAGGAGGGAGACTCGGTCCTTGCACCTTTGGTCCTGTCTCTTCATCTGAACTACCACCCCCAAAACTGGTGATAAAGGTCATTTTGGGACTTGCATCTGGTGACCTTGACCTTGAGCGTGATGAAGATGACCTGAAAACACAATGTAAAGAATGTGCAACTGATACAGAGTTGTTTTTCCCCAAAATTACAATCATAAATTCATTAATTTATCATATACCATGTTTTGAGTGCAGATAGCTAAAATAGTTATTCGCAGATAAGTAAAATGTAGAATATGATGATGAAACTCACCTCATTGCCTCATATGTTGGACTTTTCCTAGCCGCGTAACTAAAACAAAGACCACATGTTAAGTTGATGCTTATACATACATAACTAACATATGTAATAAACAGTAAATCTAGACATAGATACATGCATCCTAAGAATGTTAAAACAATTGCTTCATAAGCATACATACCTAGGAGGACTAAATTTTCTGTCCTTAAGTTTTTTCTCTTTAAATGCTCTTCTTTCTCTGCGTGATTTTCTACCCTGTAAATAAAAAAATTAATCTCTCATATTAAACTCCAACATCTTAAGTCATGAATAGTTTATCAAAGCACTTTGGAGGATATATTAATTTCTTACTTCTCATTTAGTTAATATTTTCCAAATCATTATCAAAATTCCATGAAAGCGAATAAAACTCAAATTAAAACTTACATGAACCCTACACATCACAAAATACATGCACACAAAAAATTATTAACTACTTACTGAAAATTGTGCTTTCTCTTCTTCTAAAAGTTTTGCCATTTTCAATTCTTCTTCTTCATCCTTATCTTTCATTAACATTCTGAAAATATTCATGATTAAAAAGTCAATAAAAGTAAATTACATTTACATTAGACAACCCACATTACTCTAGTTTATAACTGCTTTAAGTTTTCATTACACCCGTCCTATAAGTATAGTTTCTATTACAATCCATCTTTTCTAAATGCATATAACTCACTCTATGAAATCATCAGTCTGCATGCCATAGGTAGCAGCACACTTGTTCAGGAGTTGTATCTGGTCAGGAGTTAAAGAATTCACATCAAGTGCTATATCTGTAAATTTAAAGAAGAATGACATGGAAGATGTACCACCTGCCTTTATAAAAGACAATCACATACCCTACACAAAAGTGAGATTTTGAATTACTTTAATGTCAAATATTATTTGTAAGGTACTTAACTCATTTTCATTAGCAATCAGAAAGATCTTTGCTCTACATAAAGATGTCCTACTTCTATTAATAAAATATTACAGTACTTATTGACACATGCAGAGTCTCACCTAAATCTTGATCCTCTGGATCTACTGATATGTCACTTTCTTGATCACTGTTTTCCTCTTCTTCTGGTGGAGGTGGAGCATCTTCATATGTGTAACCAATTGCTGCCTTCTTAGGATTGCTAGACATCAAAGTTTAAAATTGTCAATTAAGCAGTGAATGACACTCTTTCAAATAATTATTTTAGAACATGCACATATGCAAAACTTTTTTTCTATGCTTTATGCCACTAGCATGTAAAGTGCTTTTACCTTTTTTTCTCTTCTTCAGTCAGCCCCTTCCTTTGCTGAGTAATCTGTACATCATAAAATTGCTCTTCAATAGCAATCTGCTGTAAACACTGCTCCTCTGTCACTACGTATCAAAAGATTAGATTGAGGTATTAATTAAAAGTATTTATATAATATTAGCAGTAAGGTGCACTCGACACTTTCAAGAGAAATGCCACTGCAGAAAACTACAAAGAGTTTTTCTTACTAATAAAACACATCCAAAAGAAATATATGACAGATATTATTCAAACTTTACCAGACTATTTAAAGTACCATTGACACTGAATACCACAAATTTAAAATTATGTAATTTTAATGTAAAAGCAAAGATAAAACCTTTATTCCTGCTACATAGAAAACATCTTACTTACAGCCTGAACATTCATTTTGCACCATGGTTCTATATCTTTCATAATTACAGGACCGTTCTTCCTCATCTTCTGGGATTGAAGGTCTGAAATAAATATCAATGAATCTATGTCTGATAACACAATTTGGACATGTGTGTGGAACTTTTCCATAAAAGTTAAAAACATAATAGGGCCATTCCGTGGTATTTTTTTGCTGTTATGGAAGGACATTTGACACTTCAAATAAAAATATTTTCAAAAGTAAAAAAGTTACAAGGTCCATTTTTTGTATGTTTATTCTTCTATATGTAAGTTATAATTGGGCAAAAAATTAGGTTATAAAAATTTACAGTTACAAAAAAATTATAATAAATAGTTAGCATCTCGGAAGGACGTGAAATGGACATGGAATTTTAAATTTCAACTTCAACACTAAAATTCTGCTCTGTCTGTGTAGATATTTAAAAAGTCAAATCAAAATAAGAATATTTGATTATTTCACTTTCTCAGTGTATAAAATTCTTTTTGGAAAAAAAATAATAAATTTGAAAATAATGCATATAAAAAAATCAAGTAGGCGTCATGGAAGGACGCGTCTCGGAAGGACATTTTGTCCATTGCTAAATAAAATGTAAAATAAGGCTAATAATAATATTTTATGAATACATACCAGCATAAGTTTGATGAATAATATCAAAATTAAACAGGTCCTTCTATGGTAATATATTTCATCTTCAAACATGTTACTAATTTTGACTATAATACAAGTTCTCATTTGCTCTGATCATCTTTAAATGATAGTGGGACATTTTTAGATAAAATCTTACCAAATCTATTAATTATAAATAATATCAATTGTCTAAATTATAATAACTTCAAAATTATTCATTCAAATGAAATGTTTCTCAGTTTAAAAATGCTTCTGTATATAATAATTGTGAATTTTAAGTTCAAGATTATCTTGAAAGACATAAGGGTTTAGGGCTCATTGGTCACATGACCTGTTATGGTCCAATCAAAATGCCTCATACGTGCTTCCACTGTGCTAGGTGTCATGTTTAATGCTTATATATTTGTATTTAATTTCTTATTGAAGTGGTTCTAAGCAAAAAAGTTTTCATATTTTGTTTGCCCCCATTATGGTTGAGGAGAATATGAAGTTATAAGTTTTTAGCTTTTGTAGTTACTGAGAAAACTTAAAAAATAGGTACCAAAATCATCTCGGAAGGACAAATTGATATTAATTAATCCATTATTTTATAATGAAATATTTTTTAATCTAATGCACTTGACTAAATGTAAGAAATAACTTAAATTTAATGTATTTGGTCTTTATTGTTTAAAATGATCTCTATTATGAAAAATATATCAAAAATAAAAATGTCCTTCCGTGACACTATTTTAAAATTTTTCCAGATAAAAGTGTCAATAAAATCATAATTAATCATCAAAACCTTTAATTTCTTTTTGATTCTGGTGTCTTATGGTGTCTGGTTTCAGAAGTTATAAGTTTTATAAGTAGGATTCCTTTTTCAAATTTTGAGGTCTGCAGACCAAATACCACGGAATGGCCCAATAATAATAATAATAATAATAATAATAATAATAATAATAATAATAATAACATGTTTTAAATAGAATTATTTATGCTTTTCTCTTTCTTGAAAATGATTTCTTTAATGAAAATCAACTCTACCCTTAGATGCTTATCAAATGAACTTACTCTGGGGATTCTTCTCGAATAACATGAGGAATTATGTCCAAATGAGCACGAACATCAAATCTGTCAATGAGATTATTTTGGTCCCCCTGCCATGGCATCCTGTTTTCAAATTAAAATTCACTTTTATTACTTACAAGAAATATGCGACTCCATTTAAATCAAACCACTAAAATCTGTCACATTAAATTAACAGATGTTGCTTTAAACTTAATTTAAAATGTTTAAGGACCATATAATTAAAAACATAACATATACAAGATCATACACCAGACATCCTTACATGCTCTGTGGGCTCTCTGCGGCATATGCCACTGCTGGCTCTAAATGTATCTTTACAGGTCTTCCATACACACGAAGGAAGATTGTAGGATCTGCTTTCTGGAAATAAATAAATATACTTTTATTTTACTTAGCAAATTCTCTCAATGTAATATTTTTATCTCTATATATAAAATAGTTCATTCTTAACCCTTAAAGTATTTAAAAATGTCACAACTTTCTAAATATATTGTCAGCTGAATAAGTTAGCAGCCAGAGAAGGATTGTGTTTGTGTGTATTTTTGAAAATAATAGTGGTTGAGAACAGGTGAACATCCCATATTCAACTCTTACAATTTTTTCATAATATTCTCTTCTTCTTTCTGCCCTCTTTCTGTAATCCACCATCAACCCCCTGATCTTCTTTTCTTGTTTTCTTGCTTCATGCCACATTTTTCTTAATCTACTTGCCTGTAAAGTGAGCAACTGAAGTGTGTTACCGTTACTTTTCACTATACTGGATACAATTATTCAATTTAGTTCAGCTATTTATTTGGGCAAGCTTTCTGTTTATATCGCATCATTTTTATTTGCAAATAATAACAATATCAATATCACTGTCACTGGTATCATATCATAGATAGAGTCAAACTCAAAGAACTAAAAATTTAGTAATTGAAGCCAAAGAAAAGAAAATGCTATCTATCGACACGACGACAGTGTCGTGAAAACTCGATGCAAAGCACTTTCAGCATGATTTTCTGGCGAAAACAAAATGCCAGTAAGCAAAGTAAGTATCTTTACCTGCTCGGTGATGGAACTATACACTTAACTGATGGAACAGTAACCTGAATCGTCAAGTAAATTATGCTTCTAATGGATAGCAATTTGTCAGCCAAAGCCGACTTCTCGTGGCCCCGCCATGATGGTTTCTCCGATTGCATCGCCTCCTACAGGATTGTATTTGGGCAATATCAACTGGAGGATGAGGGGGGTAGACTATTCAATCCTTGTTTGCCAGTTTAGTTAGTGACAATGCTTTCAGAGTAAAATCACACGATGAATCTTTGTAAATTTTTAATCCATCTACTCGTGTAACATATCTAACAACACGCTGAGCTCGTGAAAAGAATACTTTTTACGTTTTAGCTAAAAACGCAATACCCTATCTAGAATGAACTCGTCTGTAGCGGGAAAAACAGAACTTTTTGGTGAGTACCAGGAAATACAGTGCAAGGGAAAACTTTTGCTTTTTTTCCGACAAGTTGCCCTTTGAAGACTTTTTCCTGATTAGGTAAGCAGAATCATATTCCATTTATCTAAGACTTTTACTGGTATAATTTTTTAAAATATATTTCTAGACCTACATGTACATAATTTTGTTGTAAATTTGGGGGTTGATTTGAACCCCAAGACTATTATGTCAATCTTATTATCTAAAGTTAAAACCGAAGTAATAATGGTACAGAATATGTTGATTTCAAACTGTTTTATTAGTCCATTAAAATTTTGTAAATCTTAAGAATTTATTTGATAAGGTGACTTTGTCAACACTTGTTGATTTTCTGTGTCATACCATAAAAATGAAAAAAAAAAAAAATCGGAGATAATTTAAATTTAATAAATTAATCGGAATCTACAAGGAATAATGTAATGGGGCGCCTTAGCAATAGTCTAATGGTTCACTGGTCTAAAAAATTGTATGCATGTGCCTCTGATGAAATTTACTTTATTACCAGTACCCTGCACACTATAAACTTTTTTATGCATTAATTGGGATAATCAAACCTTCTGACTAATGACCCTTTGTATTTTTGCTACGGCCCCATCTTTTAAATAGTATTGGCAAATTAGGACTTTAGGAACTTATCCCATTTTCATGCATTAACTGTATTAATCAGTAACATTAATTGTATTGTGTTAAATTCTGATCTAATTTAGGACCAACGAAACAAGTATAGTGGTTCTTAGATCTATCTTATTCTAGCCACTTCTATGTACTGTAGATTTTACCTATTTATTTCTTTTTCAGCTTAATTAGCATGGAAACAGTGGCAAGATTCATAGACTATCTAGATAACCGCCCAACGTCTAAAAATCTCTGCTGTGCTAGTGAAGGCATTTTGTCTTTCATACAAGATGAGCAGGACATTAGAGATAACTTTGAGTATGGTTGCATCATGGACTTGTGTGATTGCAATGGGGATTCTGTCCCGGATTTAAACACTGTTCTTAACTGTGATGAATCTCTATCTCAATCAGACTTAGAACTAGGGTTGATTTATTGCAGTGAGGATCCTCTTGATGCTGCAAACTTCACTACAGAATATGGAGAAAATTCCATAGTGTATACAGATTATAATGTGTCTGAATTTATTAAAGAAAAATCGGTTTCTGTTCCTCAGACAGATGGAAGCATCAGTGATATATCTCATGTTCATAACATTGAGAATACCTCGACCAGCACAAGTGTAGGAAGTGATCAATGTGGACTGGATGAACCACCAGATGACATAAACAGTATCGGTGAAAATCTATCTAGAGTAAGCATGGATTCAGATGAGGAAAATTATGAAGAAGACACTGATGAAGTTGACTTTGGATTTTTCAACTCTGATGATGTAGAAATTGAAGAATTTATGGAGGAAAGTTTCTTTCATGAAATACCATCAGCATCCACCCCAGTGACCTTTGATCACCAGTTGCCAGAACTACCTGTACCAGATATAGACAATGAAAGTGAAGATTTATCTAGCAACAACAGCTTTTCAGAAAGTGTAGACTTTGAGAGATCTTTAGACTCCTGTAATAGAGACCATTTGGTACCTGATGTTTTCTTTGAAGAATAATGAGGATGATGAAACAGCACTGTTGCCAAGTTAGCATACTGCCATGTTTGTGGACAAAATTGAACTCTTTTGACCTAGAAAAAAATTAATAAAATAAATAATATATTATATATTAACTTTTATTGACTATGCTATATGTTAACAAAATGATTTTTAGACAAATGTGAAAAATGATGTATGTTATTAGACTTTAAAAGGAACCTTTTTATATTGTTGTTCTAACTTATCAATTAAAGTTTAACTATCTTTATTTTTGTTGATGGTTTGATTACTGGTTATTAGTGTGGAATTGCACAAAAAGCTTGTAAATGAAGTTTAAAGCTTTAAATTATTTAAGAAAAAGAATAAATAAAATTGTGAGAAAAAAATTAAATTCAGTTCTTCACATTTTTACTCTAATTCATGTATGCTTTTTAGTTGTTTATAAGATAAGTTTGTTGTACATGCATGCATTGACCAAAATTGGATTGAGGTATAGAATACCAATTGCAAGTATTTATTACTAAACTGAGACATAATGTGCCATATTAATGTTTACAGATCCAAATTTTAGGATCTTTCGCAAAAAATGCATTTTACTCATTTTCCTGGGATTATATGTTATTTTTCTCCATTTTAAATCTTAATTCAATTCTTCCTTGCCTGACAGAAGCTTTAAATAACTGTAACAGTGGGAATTTTTAAAAAAAACCTTAACCCATGGGTCAGTTTTTATTCAAATTACCCATCCAGTCATGCTCAATTCTCTCACAGCATGACTTCTAGATCATGTGTGATGTAAAACTCAAAGTGGTTGATTGGCAAGTTTTGTCAGGGATGGTAAATTTGATTTTATTTGCAACATTTTATTCATACCAGTAGTATTTATCTTTTTAAATATGATAAAAATATTACTTGTTCTCAGGTGAGTTAAACAAGAAGCAGTTTATCATGTATATATAGTTTGGTTAAAACCTTAATTAGGTACATGCACAATGTCACTTAAAAAGTGAATGCATTCATTGACAAAAATCTGCGTTTTGGACATTTTGTGAATAAATCTGTTGCTAAAAATATACAACTAGGAGCAAACATGCATTGATAATATATCAGGGTATATTCACATATTGAATCACTGCTCAGTCCATTAATAGTTAAACGAAAAGAATACAAGAAGGTTTGCATATGATTTACTCTGGCTACTGCAAAGGAAAATTCTGCTAAAAGTGTTTGATTACGCAAATGATTTTCCAAGACAGACCTATCTTAAATACGCACATAAAAAACTGTTTTGTTTGGTGTTTATTTATCGATATATAAAGTCATCAATCAATTCAAAAACAAAAAAGAGTGCCCATGGGTCAATTTAACGTTAAACTACAAAGCTTAACATTTTGTCTCTGGCTTGTCTTGAAAATTATACGGAAGCTCGTAAGAGTTTTTACTTCACACGTTTGCCATATTATTCTTATTATCAAAATTGGGATCTTTCCAATATTTTATATACAGATGACTAAGGTTTACTGTTTTGTGTTTAGTTACAAGATATTACAATCTTTCAGCGGCGAATCCTTTAAAACCTTAAATTCAGACGTTACAAAACTGTATTTGTATGGTGATCCCTCAGTCTACCCAAACAGTAAATTCATATTCTTTTAGTGTTAACAACAATTTTGTCAGATATTTGGACAATTTGCCATAAACTGCTATCGTATAATATACAAATGTGTCAGTAATACGTCCAAACAAGAAAACAGATACTTTATTTGTTGTATATTCATAATAATATACAGAATCATTGGTGATTTTTCCGATTTACAATTTTGTTCTTATTTTCACAATTTGTGTTAGAAAATATCCTTCCGCTTGGAATACGTGCCGACTCAATACTATATCTAAGACTTAAATATTCATGAAAAGTGAGTAAAGAAACCGAATCTATGTAATATATCTAACCACATTAAACAAACAGCGAAAAACACTCATATGTAGTGAATTGCACAAAATATCACCGAACTATATGATTAAGCGTAGTAATGGTAATCGGTGTACGCCGCAGGTGCAGAACAAAGCTAGCGGCTCACAAAAAAGTTTGATTTTCTTTCTTAAACGACAAGCAAATCTTCAACAAGTGCGCGAAAAATATAGGAGAACGTTTGCCAATAGAACATGGTAATGGCAGATCGACAAAGTGAAGAATTGAGAAACGGCAGGCGATCAAGAGGTCCAAGCCCGAATGGCAATTTCAATGATGACGACAGCAGCGCCGCTGAGGATTCAGATCAAGGTGCTTTAAATTTCGCGGTTAATGTTTTTTCGCGTTTGGCGCAAATGTGATATTCTACCCTTTCTTGATTGAACATAATTTTTACGTGTCATAAGAGGTCATCACAGTTAAACTGTTTTGTTTTTCAGATAATGGCATGCGAATTGGAGAAGAGTTTCAAGCTAATATAGTACAATACAACCCAGGTAATTTAACTTATAGCAGCCCCTAGCGGCCAGTTTGGAATTTAGATTATTTTGCAAATTTGCAAGAGCGATTAGTAATAATTACAATGTTCAGCCTATTTAAGGTACAAACATTTTGATATGTTAATTGAAATTTACATCCTTAATTGGTCTTTGATTCATTTTCTGATTAACATCAGGTGTTAAATATTTATGTTTGATTTTTTTGTGAATTAGAGTATTAATTAGGATTGGTTAAATTAAAAAGAAAGGGAAAGTATCTGAATTTATCAAGTCATTTTAAAATAGATTTTTATGTGAAATTAAAATTGAAAATAAAATTTGCCTAAAGATTATTAATATTTATATTGAAGTATTTAGAAAAATCTCATCTTTGGTAACTGCCACCATTGGTGCCTGTTATGTTGTTTACTGCTTCATCGTACTAAGCCTCAGTGCAACCATAGTAAGCAGTAGTCAAGAAGAGAGTTCCATTTATTTATATTAAACATAACATGTAATATGTCATGAAATTAATTGTATGATGTAACTAGCTACTATATTGTTACAGACAAAGCTGTTCCTCAAAAAAAGAAAAAAAAAAAAGAAATGGGAGAAAAAAATGAATGTCAACTCAAATCATACCATCCTTTTCGCTTTAATGTGACTTGGACTAACTTGACCTTGGTGTGGTCACCAATGAATGTTTGTTTTCAAGGTCATATAAAATCAGTGCTATTTTCTGTGCGTATAGTGCACTCTTATCACTGCAGTTAAAGTTACACTGATGCTATAGCTCTTATATGTCCATTGCAAAATTGTTTTTGGTAAGAATCCCGCCCCGCGTCCGTCCCCCCCCCCCCCAGCAGATATTTTTTGTCAATTTAGGATTAACCAACAAGTCTAGGCAACTAAAATCTTGTTAATTTTACTCATTTATATCTTTTTATACTGTTTATTATTTTTGACAGCAGTTCAAACCTTTTTCTTTTTTAAAAACTTATATTAAATTTATTGATTTTACTGCACAAAAAAGAGAAACCATATAGGTTTTTTATTTCTTTTTATAATTTTAGTATTTTCTATGTTTCAGATGCTTACAAACAAGAAAGTCGCCCAGAAGGCGCCATGCTGGTTTGGTCCCCAAATCAAGATGTTCTGGATAGCAAAGGTAATCCAGTTATGAAGTAAAACATCATTGGAGTCAGGCATGTATTTCACCCATTTTCATAGCTTAGTTGAGGCAGATAAGGCATTTCCACATTTCCACAATTTTCATCAGGTTTATATTTCTGACAGTGTTAATGGTAGATGGTCTGCATAAAGCAGGGCGTGATATTTCCTGGTTGCCTTTCAGCTTTTGGTTACAAATCTTCCATCTGGTCACATAACACAATGTAATTTAACAACCTGGTGAATCACACGGATGCCAAAAGTTTTCATGGTTTAATGTTGAATTTACTGGGAAAGTTGATCATAATTACCAACATATTTTTGAACCAATAATAAACCTGCATAAATGATTTTTTTTCAGTTGATGAGTATATCCATATTGCTAAGGAAAAGCATGGATACAATACAGAGCAAGTAGGTGGCTGTTATTGATTTTTAACTTAAATTTTGTGTATTAGATGATTGCAAATATAATTGATAACCAAGATATTTTCATTTGGTAAGTGCTGTTGGGTGAACTAGATCATATTTTCAATTAAAAATTATAATATTTTCCATATTTTGTTATAAAATAGAAATTATGACAGTTTCAACCACATGTTGCCAATAGTGTAAATAATCATTATGTTTGCAGTTATTTAAATTTTATTAGTTGTAAAACATTATAAACATTTGTCTTCTAGGCTCTTGGTATGTTGTTCTGGCATAAACACGTGGTTGACAAGGCTCTTGCTGACTTAGCCAACTTCACACCCTTCCCTGATGAGTGGACAGTGGAAGATAAAGTGCTGTTTGAACAAGCATTTAGCTTCCATGGGAAGAGCTTTCACAGAATAAGACAAATGGTAAATCTTTTCTGCAATATTTTGATTCTTTTGTATTGTAAAAAAATACTATTCTTTATAATACTAATTCTCACTAATACTAATTCTTATTTGTACTATTATTTTTAAACCTAAATGAAATTGTTAATAAAATAAATTTTCAACCCAGGTGACATGATGGTTTTTAAAGATAATTTCTGTCTTTCCAGTTGCCTGATAAATCTATTGCCAGTTTGGTGAAGTACTATTATTCTTGGAAGAAAACCAGATCACGCACTAGTCTGATGGACAGACAAGCCCGTAAACTAGCCAACCATAGAGATGACAGGTACATTATGCATTCTTATCTTTTTACTTTATTGCAATGATAACTTTGAGAAGTCATTTTAATATTCATTATTGGTTAATTATATTCAGTTTTTAAGATTTGACTTTGTACGAAATGAATAAGCATTATATATATATATATACTGCATACATATTAAATTGAAGACCACCCTAAATGTCATTTTATGTTGTGAGATTTGACTTTTGTTTTGTTAAATGAATGGTTATATTATTACTTTCTTTAGTGATGAGGATCTAGGCAGCAGCAGTGATAGTGATTTTGAAAAGAATAAAGAAAATGGGGTGAGTATAAGTTTAAGGTGGAGTATATTTGGTCAAATAAATTGAGATGATACATGCAATTCTTTGACATATATATCTCTTTAAATCCTTATTTTTTTAATTGAAAAAAACAAGGTCATATAGAATCTAAATGTTCACATAACATCAATGTTTATGTGTATTGCTTTTTCATTTATTTATTTTTGATATTTTAGAAGACTACAGTCTCTGCTGATGGCAAAACAATTTGTACCAACTGTGAAATAACCTGCACACAATTACATTCCACACCTAAAGGAAATCTGTGCAGCTCCTGCTATCAATACTGGAGGTTAGTATGGTCACCTGGGGTTTCTTCAAAGCAGTCTTAAGATTCTACAGTTATAAAGTATCAATTATAACTTATGAATTATTATAACCATATTATTTTTTATTACACATGGTCAAAATCCCCAAGTTTATTTTGAACTATTTATTTTTTAAATTTTATTGTTATTTCTTTATGTTTTTATTAGGAGAACAGGAGTGATGCGCACTGCTATGGGTAAGCGTGACCTCCAAAGTCGTCACCATCCATACAAGAACAAAAGAAAGCCACCTAGAGGCATGTACCTGGAGCAAGATGACCTTATTGCCTTGGCCACTGGACCAGCAGGACAAGGAGATGCCCTGCTGAAGAATTTGGAAGCTGAACTTGTTAGTCTGAAGCGACAGGTTAGTATGGGCATAGTACAGATAAATGTTGGATAAATTTTAGGTGTTGTTATTACATCTCAAGAAAATGAGTGGTTATTGTTCACCTGAACACTCATATTAATTGACTTTTTGCTGTTTCACAAAGATTTATTATGTTGTTTATGATTTTTTTAGGTGCAGAATAATAAACAGATGTTGAGCCTACAAAAACACAAGACCATAGGTGGAATTGATGACCTGCGAATACCAGAGGGGAATCAGCGGATTAATGCCAGATGGACAAATGAAGAATTACTGTTGGCTGTTCAAGGTATATATTTTATACTCGGTCACTTTTGATTGCAGATTCTAAATTCTGTTTCATCAAGAAAGATTATGTTTCAAACTTTTCCAAATGTTCTAGTCTTCATTTTGACATTTATTTTCAGGAGTAAGAAAATATGGCAAGAATTTCAGAGCAATAGCAGAGACCATTGGCAACAAAACTGAAGCACATGTACGTACATTTTTCATCAATTTCCGAAGAAGATACAACTTGGATGAGGTGTTGGCAGAGTACGAGAAGGAGCATGGATCTGATGGAACAAAATATGAGGAAGATCTGAATGGTGTTGAAGAAAAGGTATGAAAATTTGAAGATTGCAAATTAAAAAAAACACTGAATTTTGAAAGTGTGAAATCCTGAAGTAAAAGGGACTCAACAAAGCAAATCTGATTACCTCCCCCCAAAAAATTTTTACTTCCTTTCATTTACACATCATTGTCAGTCTTTCTCAAGTCTCACAAAAGAGCCATAAGGTTTCTGTTTAATTTTGATTTTGCAGTGATAGGTGCAGATAAATTATTCAACATTCCTTTCAGATGGAGTTGGAAGATGACAAGCAAACTGCTCCAAGTGTAGGTCCAAATGTTGGTGCTCCTCCACCATTGCTGAAGCAGGGTCAGAGCCCAGTAAAATCCACCTACTTGCAACAACCAGCCAGGTATTTACTTTTCTAAATTTTAATTTAAAAAGGAAGTTCTGTAGTAAACAATTATTTGTGAGTATTAAATTTGTCAAGTTCAAATGTCATTCATGCATATCATTCAAATGTTATCCTAGTTAAATGCTTGAAGTAGATTTCATTTTGTGAAGTATTGTGACCTGGGTTGAATACCTATATCAAAATTGATGTCAACTTTTTATTTTACAGATCAAATAACCGCCCAATTCTGCAGCAACCACCACCACTCATCCGCCCATCAAACACTACACCAGTGCCTCCAAAGCCACCCAAGCTTACTAGTGTGGACAAAGACTGAACCCTGACTTTGACTTCTGCTTTAGTAGTGGGAAAATCAAGCTACAACCAATAAAGTCATGACATTAAGTATTAATTGCAGTCCATGAAAACATAATAAATTGAGGACTTAAAAGTTTCCACTATAGTGTGGCAGATGGCGTGCTTTGCTTTGCAATACAGTGCTCCATCAGTTCAGAACTGATTCTAGTTTCTGGGGCTAGGGCTTGTGGTATCATGGATGTCTGCATTCCTGGTGTTCTGTGTCAGAAAAATGGAGGGGAATTAGTGGTCACTTTTACCTGTCTGGCTGTTAATACCTTTATGAACTGGCTACAATTTTCCATGCCTTGACATCTCATACTAGTAGTCAGTGTCTGATTTATGTAGCTTTACCCTGTTGAGACCTCTTTGGAATGCAGATGCTGATACATGAATCGTTCAATGACAAAAAAAAAGGATTGAGATATGTCTGGCCTACAATGATGGCAAACTGACTAAAGTAAGTTAGAAGTTTCATCAAAGATGCTGTCATATTTGTGCACAGTTTAATGTAAATCAGTTTTTTGTATTGATATTTTGGTGTATGTAATTTTGTATTTATTATTATGATAAATAGTATCTAAGTTAATGTAATTTCTTAATTTGTAGTGTAAATACAAAAATATGGTGAACTGGGTGCAATTAAAACTCAAGTAATTTGCTCTTTAGTTTATGCTCCTTCAAGAGAGTCATGTGAGATGTGCTTGTCATGTTAACCATTCAATATTTACCACCCACCATTTGATTTTAACAACAATGCTGGGAAGCTACTCAGAAAATTGTTTAAAGTGCAATGTTGACTTAGATAGTTGTCTTACCCTGTAAAGAGTGCCTAAATGTGTAGATGGTTGTGAAAAGGATAAAATAAACTGTTTATATATCTGCTTTTGACACTTGTTTTCTTTTAACGTAGATTTAAATATTTTGTCATTTATTTAATTCTTGAAAGAGGAAAAGGAATTATGAATTGGAGATGTCAAGTTCATATTACTGATATAATCATGGTACACCTAAATAATTACACTGAAATTAGTCAGTGCTTTATTGCATTTAAAGTCCATATTTGGTGTTGTATAATTCTAAAAAGTATGTATGTAACCAAAACCAGTAAGCATCTTCTCCAAAAGTTAAAAAAATGTGACATTCGAACTCTCAGTTCAGCCTTTCAGCACTAATACATGTAATATGATCAACTGACTCCCACAAAACTGCGGGAATTCGTCTTCTTCTTTTTTTTTTAATTTAATTATTATTTATTTGTTTGTTTGTTTGTCTTGTGGTCTATCGAACACGTTGTTGGATATGCGTATAAATATTATTGTAGAAAATTTTAAAAAGACGCACCAAGATTTTCTTGTTGCTTTAAAACCCCAGGAGCTCCTCTTGGGCATCTTACTGCTCACCGGGAGCACCTGCCATCTACCGTGAAGAAGGTCTGCCGGATGACGCCATATTGACAACACGGATAATGTAGACTAGTAGAATATACATTGTTCTTTTGGAATTTTCACCCGATATTGGAACCTGAGAACAATCACTGCTTACAATGAAGACGCATTGTCTTTTGATAAGTTTGGCAGTATTATCTGGGGTCCTCACTGTTGAAGTTCCAGAAGACTATGCCAAGTTGTTGAGCTCGAAATTGCTCCAGGAACTTGAGAAACGACTCGACGAAAGGCACAACCAGGAGCCTAGATGTCAATATGAAACTAGACATAGCACTATTATCAGGACTAATGCTTCTCTTTCAGCAGGAGCAGAATTTCTAAAGGCCCCTGATGATGTAGAATCTCAGAGAGATTGTTTACAAGAATGCTGTTACAGAGAAAAATGCAGTGTAGCAGTCTATCAGACGGTGTGTGTTCCTTTATAAATAATAATAATATTAGTACTGAATTTAGTCCTTAGATATTTGTCGTTTTACAGTTATCCTCCTTTGGCCATGATGTTCCTAAGCTTCTGCATATGACTTCTTGTGTTGTCAGGACATCAGCCAAATGTTATTGCTGCTAGTTTTAACTGAACCTATTTTTTAACTTACAGAAGGACAGTAGCTGTTATTTATTTAACTGTCGGAAGAAAGGGATATGTCAATTTACTTCTTCTTCTAAGTACAATACAATGATCTTAGAGGATCGATTAATTACAAGTGATGAAGATGCAAATGAAAACAAGTTTATAGAAGAGGAAGATGCCCAACCCAGCACTACAACAAGTAGTACCACTGCCAAGGCAACTACCCCTACAACAACTACTGCTGCTCCAACTACAGCTAGCACGACTACTACTACTACAACTACAACCACTACAGCTACTACTACAACTGAAAGAACAACAGTAACTGAGAAGCACACTACTAAACCTAAAGAAAAAACAAAAGGTAAGTTATAAATAAATCTTATAAACCTTTATGGACATATTTGAACATTGAACTGCCAGTGGAAAGTGAGATCTGGGCTGTGATAAAATATGGGTATAACTGTTATATGAAGCAGGATTGCCAAGGTGAAAAAAAGCATAGTTTTCTTGTGTTCTTAGTCAAACAATAATTACAGAGAAAAATGAACAGTAAGGTCAAATGTTTTTGTACTCCCTAACGTCTTTCCAGTTAATATTTTAGCCTGTCAATTTCCATCAGTTTATACCAGTAGAGTTAAGATAAGGTGGAAATGCATATTTCCTGGTCTTTTTACTTGGATTATGAAGAGATGAAAAATAAGGATGTATACTTTAGTATGAGTATACAGTGTAAATAAATTTAAACTTTCGTAAATAATATATGCGTATCCCATATAGATGAGTTTGCATAATATGATACCCTTTTAGCCAAGAACTCTGAAAAATGAAGTTATATAATACTGGTTGTTATAGTATTATCAAATAGTGTTAATGAGCTTTATTTGCTGTCAGATAAAGTATGGTCATTTTGCTGATGATATCTTATCAGCAGTTTGGGAAGAAAATGTTATTTTGAATTTCATGATTTTCTTTTTTACCTGGGCTAATATCAGAAAAAATTTCAATGGCTAAAAGGGCTGTGCACGAATACTACAGCGGGTTGTAGATAATTTTCTTACAATCAAAACAAACAATGACGTAGTTAAATTTTATCTCTAATAATGTTAAGTGACACCAATTTTCAAAGAACCTTTACTAACAAGACCACATGCCACCAGTTTCAAAGATCTTATCACACATCTGTCAGACCTGATTGTTCATCAAAACTACACCAATTTTGGTCCATTTATCAGGAGTGGTAACAGAGTTTATATCCTCTGAACCTATTGCTATCTATACCCAATTAGGTTTATATAATTCCAGGCACCTCAATGGATAAAAATGACTCCCTTGGACAATGCCAGCTCAACCTGTTATCCATATTTTGATCCACATAATCCTGTAGTATATGCTAGTAATAAGTCACCCAATAATATCAGCTGAATAAGGAGAAATCTTTTGCACTTCAAAGCAGGCCACAAGTGCCCTATGTTTCCTCAAGAGACAAAATATGATGGAAGAAAAACACTTGATTGGCCATATCATACATATACAAAGTCAGAAAATGTGGATAGTTCTTTGTTGTTTAGATTTACTGTTTTATAAAAGCAACTCAATAAGCCACATTCCATAAGCAAGGGCTAACATTGTTGGTATATGCAAGATTAATACAGTCATCAAGATATTGATTATTTCATTGTTGTGAGAATTTGAGTGACGTAGAAAGTTAATGTTTGCTCTGGGATAACATTTGCCCTTTGTTGCTTCCTAGTTTTTGTATGCTAGGTTGTAACATAATTTTGTGCCACTTTGTGTAATTTGATCTATTTACTGGGTATTTTACATGAACAGTCGACTCTTTTTTTGCTATAAGATATATTTCTGAAGAATATTTCATTCCTTTTTTATGTACAGACACAGATGTGTCTGTACATATAGCCATCATCTGCGTCTGTCGTCGCCGTCGTCGCCGTGCACTTTTACCGATAACACGANTAAATAATAATAATGTTAGTACTGAATTAAGTCCTTAGATATTTGTCGTTTTACAGTTATCCTCCTTTGGCCATGATGTTCCTTAGCTTCTGCATATGACTTCTTATGCTGTCAGGACATCAGCCAAATGTTATTGCTGCTAGTTTTAATTGAACCTATTTTTTAACTTACAGAAGGACAGTAGCTGTTATTTATTTAACTGTCGGAAGAAAGGGATATGTCAATTTACTTCTTCTTCTAAGTACAATACAATGATCTTAGAGGATCGATTAATTACAAGTAATGAAGATGCAAGTGAAAACAAGTTTGTAGAAGAGGAAAATGCCCAACCCAGCACTACAACAAGTAGTACCACTGCCAAGGCAACTACCCCTACAACAACTACTGCTGCTCCAACTACAGCTAGCACGACTACTACTACTACAACTACAACCACTACAGCTACTACTACAACTGAAAGAACAACAGTAACTGAGAAGCACACTACTAAACCTAAAGAAAAAACAAAAGGTAGGTTATAAATAAATCTTATAAACCTTTATGGACATATTTGAACATTGAACTGCCAGTGGAAAGTGAGATCTGGGCTGTGATAAAATATGGGTATAACTGTTATATGAAGCAGGATTGCCAAGGTGAAAAAAAGCATAGTTTTCTTGTGTTCTTAGTCAAACAATAATTACAGAGAAAAATGAACAGTAAGGTCAAATGTTTTTGTACTCCCTAACGTCTTTCCAGTTAATATTTTAGCCTGTCAATTTCCATCAGTTTATACCAGTAGAGTTAAGATAAGGTGGAAATGCATATTTCCTGGTCTTTTTACTTGGATTATGAAGAGATGAAAAATAAGGATGTATACTTTAGTATGAGTATACAGTGTAAATAAATTTAAACTTTCGTAAATAATATATGCGTATCCCATATAGATGATTTTGCATAATATGATACCCTTTTAGCCAAGAACACTGAAAAATGAAGTTATATAATACTGGTTGTTATAATATTATCAAATAGTGTTAATGAGCTTTATTTGCTGTCAGATAAAGTATGGTCATTTTGCTGATGATATCTTATCAGCAGTTTGGGAAGAAAATGTTATTTTGAATTTCATGAGTTTCTTTTTTACCTGCGCTAATATCAGAAAAAATTTCAATGGCTAAAAGGGCTGTGCACGAGTACTACAGCGGGTTGTAGACAATTTTCTTACAATCAAAACAAACAATGACTTAGTTAAATTTTATCTCTAATAATGTTAAGTGACACCAATTTTCAAAGAACCTTTACTAACAAGACCACATGCCACCAGTTTCAAAGATCTTATCACACATCTGTCAGACCTGATTGTTCATCAAAACTACGCCAATTTTGATCCATTTATCAGGAGTGGTAACAGAGTTTATATCCTCTGAACCTATTGCTATCTACTCCCAATTGGTTTTATATGATTCCAGGCACCTCAATGGATAAAAATGACTCCCTTGGACAATGCCAGCTCAACCTGTTATCCCTATTTTGATCCACATAATCCTGTAGTATATGCTAGTAATAAGTCACCCAATAATATCAGCTGAATAAGGAGAAATCTTTTGCACTTCAAAGCAGGCCACAAGTGCCTTATGTTTCCTTGAGAGACAAAATATGATGGAAGAAAAACACTTGATTGGCCATATCATACATTTACAAAGTCAGAAAATGTGGATAGTTCTTTGTTGTTAAGATTCACTGTTTTATAACAGCAATTCAATAAGCCACATTTCATAAGCAAGGGCTAACATTGTTGGTATATGCAAGATTATATAGTCATCAAGATATTGATTATTTCATTTCTGTATTGGGAAAAGTTGTGAGAATTTGAGTGACGTAGAAAGTTAATGTTTGCTCTGGGATAACATTTGCCCTTTGTTGCTTCCTAGTTTTTGTATGCTAGATTGTAACATAATTTTGTGCCACTTTGTGTAATTTGATCTATTTACTGGGCATTTTACATGAACAGTTGACTCTTTTTTTATTTTTATATATATATAAGATATATTTCTGAAGAATATTTCATTCCTTTTTTTTCAAAAAGATTGAAGGATTACAGTAAACAGCACATCAAAATCAGTAATTAAAGTATAACATTTTATAAACCTTTTTATGTAAACTTTAAAATTGGACAAAAGGGGAGGCTATTTAAGTACATGAATATTAATTTCAATTTCTTTGTCATTAATGAGGTATATGAATGTGATATATTTGCTGAATCATAAATACATGGTATGACATTGGCACTAGTTAAGTCCTGCTGATAAGCTAGAATAGTCAGCAAAACATCAAAAATGCATTTGAAAAAATTAGTCAAGCATACAGTTATTACTTTTGTTCACTGGTAAAACTTTTTGCATGCCAAAATTTGTTCAGACAGAATTACGTTCTCTATAAAATGATGTATTTTTCAGTACCACTCCTAAACTTGTGCTCTGCTGAAGAAAATATCTGTGAGACAGCCCATTCCCATTGCAAAGACAACTTCTGTCAGTGTATGGGTGGATATCATGCCAAAAATGGAGTTTGCAGTAAGTTGATTCAAGAGTATTTGATTTTGCTATGTCAGTGACATGAATTAGCTTTCCATTTTCAATCTCTTAGTGCCCTCTGATAGGCAATGAGAAAAAATATTAACTGGATTATATAATTGAAATATTGATTTATATGTCCTTAATTTGGTGCATTGGCTATATAAACTGGAACTTCTGTGTGATTGATTTGACCTGTCTTACACTCCTGGGAGTTTGTATTCATGGAACCTTAGTCATTTCACATGGGTAGAAAACCTCTTTGTAAAAATACATCATATAAGACTGCTTGTCTGTCTATAGTTCTTTTTAATATAGAGAGGAAAAAGTAATTAGCAACTTCTGGGACTTAATTATTTATTGCTGAATGTATGATCAATGCTTAATGGGTCTGAACTTCACATGAGGAATGTGTCTGGGTTAGCATGATATCTGCCTGTTTTCTATGTAATTGTGTTTCAAGCTCAGGAGGGGTGTTGTTAAAATGGCAAACACCTTCAGTATCTTAAATTAGGCATGTCAGTATATACTAATTCAAGCAGATAGAGAATTTGAGACAATTTTGATGCAGTATTCCCTTGGGGAATATCAGCCAAAGAATTTCTGTCAAGTATTGCATCTCTCTGTCTGTACACTGCAAATTATGAATGATAAGTGGAAAGGATGACTCTTGAAATGAGCCTTCCAATAGATTATAACACACTGAAATAACTTGTTTGATCAAAGAGGATAGCCTAGGGCAGTTTTATGTATAACTTCCATTATTTTCTGCAAGCATGCTTTTCTCAATTTACAGAAGAATTGTAAGAGTAAATTATATTAGTCATTATCATTTTTGTATGTCTTCATGATTTCTTTAAATTATTACTTTAGGGCGTGACTGTGACCCAAATTTCCAATGGGAATGCACCAATGGGAAAGCTTCTTATGTTGGTGAAAACTGCATTGCCAAGTATGACCGCTGTGATGGGATAGCACAGTGCCCTGATGGTTCAGATGAGGAGAATTGTAACCCCAAAGGTAGAGTACAGTCTGCTATTTATTAATCATTATATGTAAGTTATAAATCCAACCTATGTGTCTCAGTGCTCTGAGATTCTAGGTCAAGAGCTGCAGATTTAGAAGAAACCGACATTGAAAGATTTACATTTAATCCACCCATTTTCTTCATTGTTTGATTGAAGTGGATACAGGTGTGCTGTAGCCTCATGTTTCACATTACTAACAGTTTTAAAGTAGCTTGAATGATGGTAACTACTTACTTTTCATTATTGAAATTGCAATTATGGTCTAAGATATTTATTTCATTTCAAGACCAAGATTACATGAGGTTTTTCAGTGTAGACACAAAACAATTATATGTAGTTTTTATTAACTATGGCAAAGCCTTGTATAGTTCATCCTTTGATCTTTTTATATTTGAAAATTAATATTCCAATAGTATGCATTGTCAATATAATTCTTAAACCTGCTTAAAATACCATATTACTAACACTCATTCAAACCTGTTTTATCATTAGAGCATAATAATAAGATGTCAAGTATACACTCAGGAAACAAAAACGGGCATGGGTATCATACTAACCAGCATGGTTCAAACCAGCATGGATACTATCCCAGTAACTCAGGTGATGAAGACAATGGTGACAGTAGTGATGGGTATAGGAAGGTGTATGGGAGTCCTAACAGAGATGGGGCTGGGGATCAGTATTACTACAGAAATCATGGGTATTGGGATACTGGTTATGGTGAGGGGGACTCCAGTAGTGATGGTGGTGGTGGTGGTGGTGGAGGGAGAAAGAGTGTGGGATCAACTGCTGAAACAGAAAGCCAACAAGAACAGGAGCTCCAGCAGCATGCGGACCTGAAGCATCTCCAACAGAAGGAGAAGACTCACACTGCACAGCATGCCCAGATGTATGATTACACCCAAGGGCAGTCGAATGAAGACACCCTCACTGATCTTGGCTTGAGCAAACATAAACCACAGTCTGAATCCGAAGGTGAAGTTGGTAAATCCATCATAGTAGATGTAGCACCCACTGAGCCTCCCCCAATGTCAACAGCCCCAGCCACCACAGAGCCTGCCCTGGCAAGAAATGAGCATATAGATTTGTCACAGCTATCAGGTGATGCCAGTGAGGAGGCCCCCTCTAAATACCCCCCTCCTGTCCATGATGTCACCCCTGTTCATGATATCCCTTACGCCCATCAATACCCCTCAGCCCATGAAATCCCCCCTACCCATGAAGACCCCCCTGCCAGAATACCACAACATCATAAAGTCGGAGGGAAGAAAGGCCAGTCAGGGGAGACCAGGCAGGAGTCTAAGTCACAAGAAAGTGAAGGGAAGCATGCTAGTGATGGTTTTTACCCACAGCAAAATAACAGGCCAAGTGAAGATCCCAACTCTCGGTACCACCACGTCAAACCACCTGTTGGTCACAGCTCAGGCAGCAAGTCTACTCCCCATGACAACAGGGCACCTGCTGACAAAATTGTCCTATATCCAGAAGCAGACCAGTACTACTTAGATAGGGACAGGAATAAGGATAGTGATCAGCCAACTCGCCAAGGGTCATACCACAATTACAATGGTTATAGAGACTATGGGCTTTTTGATAGTGACTACCCCTACAGATCAAGATATGACAATAGGTATGATGGCAGGTATGGTCCAGTGAAAGAAGATAATAGAAATGATGAAGGCTATGGCAGCTATGGAAGAGAACAACAAGGAAATCACCAAAAATACAAAGGAAAAAATACTTATGATGAAAAACTGTATAATAATTATGGAAGATATGGCAAAGTGAACTCAGATGTTAGTGACAGCTACGTGGACCCCAATGATGCTGCTTTAGAGAATTACAAAGTCCATGGCACAGGGTTTGACTATGACTATGGTGGCTCCCATGATAAACAGACAAATGCTGGAAAGGACATATGGGAGCACAAAGGTCTTGGGGATTCAGGTCAGCTTGATGGTGCATGGTTTATTCTTACAGTTGTGTACTTATGATTTTTGTTGGTATTTAGGCTCATTTTTCTTTTTTCTTGTATGCCTTGTGTAGTATCCGTTGACTTATTGTTGTTTGTTTTTTATTTGCATGCCTTATAATCATGATTCAGTTTGATGTATCTTTGAATCTTTGACCATGATGAATTTACATAATGGCATGTCCAATTTTTATTGTTAAATTGTACTGTGTTATTTGCTTAAATCACCCTACTATCATCTTTCAAATTATGATGTTGTATATTCTGTTACCTTAGTTACAAATATTATTCTCTGCTTGCCTATGTTATGGTGCTATTGTACTTATTTTATTTTTAAAACTTTTTTATTGATTTATGTTTGGTTATGGCAATAAATGCCTTTTTATATGTCAAGGCATGATATCTGGACAAGGGTCTTGCAATATTCGTACATATCTCATATCTTTCTGAAACCCCAGTATTTATTTTTTGAAAAATATTCAGTCTACATCTTTACATATATATATTATGCATGGCAGTATTTAATTTCCTTTTTTGTTAAACATTAATCTACCTTATTCAGTTTATAAAATGCAAGATACAGAAGTAGATTTAATAAGAATGGTACTTTTATCATGCTCTTCCTGATGAGTATTTTATTCAGTGCTTTGATTTAGTGTATAATGATGAGTTTTCTTTCATCTTATAAAAAAGTTTTTAGCACAATTTTTAGTTTATAATGAGGGTGGAGTGAAATTTGTTGAAAGCATGTGTTTTTATATTGACTCAAATACTGTTATATGTGGTTTAAACTTGATTTCCTTATTGGCCAAGTGCATGATATTGTGGAAAAAGAATAAAAGAGGAGCAAAGAGAATGCTTCTTCCCCTTTGTGTTGAAAGGCAGACCAAATTTGAAAGGGTGATCAAATCCAGTATATTAAGTCTTTTAACATGTGCTTGATGCAAATGACATTAATTTTCATCTTGAACATTATTTTCAAGTACTGTGTGATTTATTTACCATTTTGTTTTGTATTTTATTATTTAGGTTACTTTAGAAACTCCTTGTTTAATGACCACGCTAAACCAGTCTACCAGTTCCCCTACAGAACATGGCTTGGTACTAATTCATGCTTCACTAACTATCCTACAGAAATGCAACTAGATATTTAGACTAGCTAGGTTGTCTATTGTATAGGTGTTAGTTACATTTCTGTATTTTTCTCTGGGACATGTTGCACATTGCACAATACAACAACTTCACCAGTTCAAAGATGCACCATTGATTGGACTGGTTTTCTATATGTTGGGATCAAATTTCAAACACTGATATAGATGTAGGAACATGGAATTGCATTGAGTCTGCTTATACTTAGTAATTGAATGCAATTCGTTGTATTGTGCAGTGTTCATGGGTGTGGGTTTAGAAGGAGCTTCTGGTATCTTTTGGCCTATTATTAGTTGAAATTTCCAAAATCCTCAGTAAAGCAGTTCAAAATTTTGCTAGTAGTAGTCAGATAGTGCATTGTTAAAATTGAAAAGGCATACTTGGTGGAGGAGTTGAAATATATTGAAAGTAAAGATTACCTCATTACAGGTTTAATTTAATGCTTGGTATTTTGCTAATGATTTGATATGTTTAACTTCATTTAATCATTTGCATCACTTGCACAATTATATGTCTTTACATAGATGCTGCATCTTTTTATATGCAACACCGATACACATAATCAAAACTGGTGGATAACCACAGTATTTTTTCAAATGTTTACTAATAGTACTAGTATGTAGCTATCCATTTGTTTTTATTTTGACTCTAAAAAAACTGCATACAATTGTAAGATACAGTTTGGTTGAACAGTATGTTATTTCTGTTTGTAGAGGAAGAGAATGCAGGAAAAGAGGAGAAGGAACCCACTCCAACTCCAGGTAAACAGACAATTATTAGGAAATGGAGTAATGAGTCAGTTACTTGCTATGTATTGATCAACACATTATCATGAATGGCATTATGGTTGAGTGAAATCATGTTATGAAAGTTGTCTGTTTTCAATTATTTCATTTTCTGTATTCAGTTAATATTCCAATTTCATTTTCAAAATTGGCCAAATGAATGAAAATTAAAATGTTACCTTTACTAGTACCATTGTATGTTGCTTATTACCTTTTGCAAAAACAGAGCCCAAGAAAGAAAACAAGGTTGAAGATGCCAAAGAGGAGAAAGTGAAAGATGATAAAGAGGACACAGGTCAGTAAACCTTTATCTTTTCAAGATTTATTATTGTGATTAAAAAAAAAGATACATATTTGGAGTTTTATGAGGTAATATGGTGTCATTGATCTTAATATGTTATATTACCATCTTGCTCTATTAGGAAAGATATAGATCCAAATCCTCATGTTTATACAACAGGTCCTACAGAAATGCCCCAGAGAGTTGTTAATGATGGTGACAGCAAAGAGCAAGAAACTCCAGCAGTTACAGTTCCAACTTCGCCCAGTCCTGCGACCTCTGAGGAAGTGAAACCAGGAGACGAGTCGAGTTCAAAACAACCAGCAACAGAACACCAACCAGATCAACCATCCAACCAGGTGATAACACCCAATTCCTCAGTTGATCTCCTGAATCAGGTCACTGAGGAAGAAGAACAGGCTGCCTCCAGTAGGCAGGGACCCATACTGGCACTGTCCTTGGGACTTACTGTTATGGCATTACTACTGCTCTTTGTTGGCTGTAAATACAGGAATATGAAGAGAAAGCTACGGAGGGGAAAACCCCTGAACTCTAATGAAGCTGATTACTTGATTAATGGGATGTACTTGTAAATGTTTGGGTACAGTGTAAGGGCATCTTCTTCAGCTGGTTTCACATACTTCGTTTTTTTATCGTTATTATTCTTTTATAAATGTTCTTGTAGATATTTCTTTTTCTGATGTTTAAACAATTTCTCACCACAAGTGAGAATACAATTTTTTTTTAACTGAGAACCGTCTTTGAGAAAGCACTATGTATTTTGGAACAATTTAAATTAAAATAATACCTCCCAAATGCAGTGATTGCTCAAGAGAGTGGTTACAAAATAAGTCCCCAAGTATTTGTCCATCCTGAAGTGTTTGATCAATTTAAATGGTTGCAATTCCAGACTTTTTTAGGACTATGTTGTGTTATGTCTTTAGAGATTTTAATACTCCTTATTGACATCAATGTTCTGAGTAAGTTTACAGTTTAAGTTAACAGGGTTTGAATAAATGGTCTTTTACTTCAACTAATTGCCAGCTAACAGATTAAGTGTTACACTGGTTTTGTATAGAAGTTGCAAACTTTTAATAAATGAATAGTATTAGGACAGGAAATATGCATCTTATGTATATGTGTTAATATTTCAAACTATGCTGTTCTGACACTTTCTGATAGTTGAGGGTAAAACAGAAATTTTCTTGCAATATTCAAGTTGGAGTTACTGAAAAGAATACAGTTCCTTTTGGTCTACTTAAATTTGGAAAAAGTGAAATTTTCATGATAATTATTTTATACATGAACTGCTGCTTTTACAAGGATTTGTAAAAGTTAATTTTAAGGTCACATGTTGAGAAAATGCATCATTTTATATATTGGTATAATTGAAACATAAGGAAATCCCTACTGTCATCAAAGCATTCCCAGCTTGCTGTGATTAAAATTACATTTGTTTATATTCATAAGAGGTCCACTTATTTTATTTTTTATTCCATAGCATGTGCAATATGATTTGTCATAGAGAAGATCGTTTGGTAGCATTAAAAGATCACATGTAGAAAATATTGTTGCAGATTAGTGCTCTACAATTGTTCAAAATTTGTTCAGTTATCTCATGTTGTGCCGTCTTAAAGTCTAGTAGTACACATTGCTTCATGCTAATCATAGTCTGTCCTTGTAAATGGGTATCGGATTTGATATTACTGACTGATGTTTTATATAAGTCTTCAAACTAATATATTATATGTGTATAGACAACTACACGTATTATTTTGCTGTAATAAAGCAATTGTATTTGTCAAAATGGTTTCTGTTTCTTTTTTGTTAGCTTCTACCCAAGATAAAATCTTTGATCACGCTTGGGGTTTGGCCAGCCTAGGTTCAACTATATTATTCTCATTACAACTAGAAAAGCATTCAGAGGGACAGACCTATGCCAAGATGGCTCAGTTCTTATTATTAATCAACTAATTGATAAATAAATTGCCACCAAATTCCAATTTGGCCCATTTTTTTTATCTGTCCTGAAAATTTATCAAAAGCTGTCTATAGCTTTTTGAGTTAGGTTGTTTTAAAACTAAAACTAGCAAAGAGAAGCTGGGCAGTCTGCCTTAACTTGCTTGGGATTTAGAATTCTTGGGTGCAATGTAAGTCCCTATGAAAATTGTGTCTGGTGATCTCTGTCAAATTATTTCCAATTTACATTTTTCACAGTTAAGTGCAAAAAAAAAAAAAAAAAAACAAACTCCCATATGCTGTCTGTGAATGTACTGCAGAGACAGGAGGAGAAATGATTTGTTATTTTGTCACAACACTGTCATAATGGCCAGTTAATACTCTCAATGTTTTAGGAAAAGAAAAAACTATATCAGTTTACATAGTATCAAATGGCACAACTTCTGGAGGTAAGCTTACAGCAAAACTGCCAAATTCATTAATGTAACAGAAATGCTAGTTTTAATGAACAATTTACTTTAAACTTACTTAAAATAAAAATTACTCTTCAAAGCAACAAATTTAAAGGGTTTTAACTTGAATGTATATACATTTTACAATACACTTTTCCAAAACATTTTATATAACTGCAAATACAAGGTGTATTTATATCTACCAGCATTGCATGAAGTACAGAAATACTGCATATGACTAATAGGTCAAAAAAGGTACAAAATTACAAATTGTTGCAAAATAAATAAAAGGACTTAAGCAGTTTCCTTCTTAATGAAAAAAATTCCAACCAATAAAACAAAGCATTCATTTTACAATCCTTGCAAACAACAGTATGGAACAATCCTACATATGATGCCATGCACCACTTACAGTATGAGCAAACTTAGCATTTACTGGGAATACTTAGGCCCTTTATAGCAAAAAAAAAAAAAAAAAAAAAAAAAAATTAACACTGGGATTTTGGTACCTAGGTCACACACACAATGAATAAATTATGCTAGAATTATAATATATAGAAGTCTTTCTCCTGCCTTTGTGTTTAAACAGTATGGCAGAGAGGCTTGAATTAGGAAAAGAATCCAAACTAAATGACTCACAATGTGTTTATATGTTAAATAGCCTGTTTGGTTATCAATCACAAAACTACATATTTGCATCTAAAGTTATCACTTTTTATGCAATGTATGTTAAGTTAAAGTAGGGCAAACTGGGACCACAGCACTCTTGAAAACCGAAAACCATTTCTTGGTGTTGTACTGCTACAGGTCTTCCTTTCCTCTGAAAATAACAATGTAAGATTCACATTTCAAATTTTGTTTTTATTCATTCAGATAATTATTTATATTATCACCCTTTTTCATATTTAACATATTTTCAGTTGAAGAATGAAAAGCCGCTCTCTGCCAAATTTTCCAGCATAGAGTAAGACAAACAAGTTACAAATATGCAATTTAGGAGTTACATACTTGAAAACAATAAGGACAACCAAATGATAATATAATATCTTTAAAAGATAATGAATTAAATCTAATTACCCGAACTATGTGCTTTTATTTTCATCATTAGCAGGTTAAGCATATTTATCATATATGCAGTTTTGGGATGCCATGAACTTTTTCTAATATCTGCCAAATATCATTCTGAAATTTTTTTGTCCAGTAGCAAGTATTTCATTGTAAATTTGACACTCTAAGGTTACTTCACTCTAATAACTACTCTTTTTCTCTTGAAAATTTCTTAATTTCTTAATTACTTTTTCCTTTCATTCAAGTTAAAACCCTTTCCTTTCATTGTCTGGTGACAAGTGGAAAGCAAACAAAACAAAAGACAAAATACATTTCAATTCAATGTTAATTGTTCACTATAATCTTAATTTAATTTTTAAAAAAATATACACTAAATGTGAAAAAATTATACCCCACTTATGAAAGCTAAATGATAAAATATTGCAATAAGAACAATTACAGTCAGTAAAGCAAACAAAATAATCCACCTTGGCCATTGCTTTTCTTTGTTTGTGAGTGGTACATATATCACTGGCATTAAGTTCTGTATGTCAGCAGTCCCGTCCTGCCGTTTGTCTACTTGAACTAATTGCTGGTTATGCCCCTCTGGGCCTACAGGTATTATCAGCCTGCCTCCAGGTTTAAGTTGATCAACGAGCTGTCAACAAATGAAAGCAATAAAACAATCACAAAACTATGTACATTATTTTACTTTTGGGCAATATTTCAGACAATATCAATTCAAGATTATCCATCCCTTCTTTTTTTTCATATCTTCCTGCTGCAACTTATCAACTTATTTAACTTGCTGATGCATATACAAATCAGTATATTCTTCATAACTCCAGCACAATGTCAAAGTTTTTGTCCCTCCTGGGCAAAACTCTCATGTTTTCATGTGGACCTCGGTCAAAGAGTTAAATGTCAGACAGTCTGTAAGGAATCAAATACTGCATAAGCTGCCTTATAGGGTACATTTCATGCCACATACTTCTTCTGAAAGTTAGAACCTGATCCTTTAAATAATGTCCATGTTAGAATGTTTTCTATGGTAAAGTCCTACATTTCTCTTCAAAAACTTGATACATGTAAATCCATACTGATGTTTTTGGTAAATCTTGTTGGACTACAAGTAAGCAAAATAACTGTTATTATTTTCTGTGTATGCTAACATAATGGGAAGCTGACATGGCATATACTGAAAGTAAAATAAAACATAAGACTGTCATTTAACTGTTCTTGTACTGATCCAACGCACAGTAACTTGCTCTGTGCATATTATAAATTGGTAACTCTCCTCATCTCCATGGAGCCCACTGTTTTTCTTTGTTGGTTAGGGGAACATATACAACTGACATGAGGTTTTTCTTGGTAACAGTTCCATCTTGGTTTCTGTCCACCTGTTGTAATTTCTGCGTCTGTCCTTCAGGTCCAACTGGACAGATGAGACGACCACCAGGCTTCAGTTGTTCTACTAGCTGGAATAAATATTGAAACACGGATGGCTGAAATAATATAGAAACATGGCTGATGGGAAAAAATGAGCCATTAAATTAAGCTAAATCATAATTTGCCAAACATCTACAGAAAGTAACAGCTGCTTGGATGCCGAAAAAACTCCATCCAAATTAGCGAAATTATACACATTTTTTAGTCAAGACATATATACCCATATGTAATTGGTTGGCCCCAAAGTTTTCACTCACATGCTCAGTCATTGGTTATAATAATCAATTGTCAATGATTACCTGTCCATCAATCTCTGACACTTAAACTGAAATGAGGACATCTTTCCAATTCTCTGAAATCTTTTTTCTTTTGACTGCCATTCCAATTTTCTTGCCACAACTACTTAAATTAATCCAAGACAACTTCAATTTGTAAATTCATTATAAATACTTACATGCTGTGGAAGGTTAGGAGCTGCAGCACCAACGTGTATGGCGTCGTAAGGACCATCTTCTGCATACCCTTTACGGCCATCTCCCACAACCATTTTGATTCGTCCACTGTCTAGCATTGCACCATGCGCTGGATTCTTGCGGATATTTGTGATGGAATCTTTTACCAGTTCATCAATGTGATCTATTCCAACCACATGACCCTCTTCACCAACCTGTGAAAAATAACTGCAGGTTATTCATTTTGCAATTAGGCTGAAACTGAGAGATTATGGACACTTAATCCAATCAGAAATAGTGTCATTATCCAGTATAACAAAAGCATGATTTTCCACATTAGAAATGGCTTAACCTCTCTACAACTTGAACAATCATTTTAAATGACAGGCAAAATGTATTATATCACTATCAGACATGTTATTTGAGATTTTTAGTATATGCAAATCATAGAAATGATTTTTTTTTAATTTTTACATCACTGTACACTCAATGATACATTACACTGAAACATCAATTTTACATCACTGTACACTCAATGATACATTACACTGAAACAAAAAAGTACTTTTGGTAAATATCTTAGGTTTACCATAATTGCCATTAGGGTAGTTAATATCCCACTGCCAGAGCCTACATCTAAAGCTGATGCACCCTCATACAGATGATCTTTTAGCAGTTGTAATGCATAGGCATGCTGGAAAAACAAACAAAATTCCATTCATGTTTTTCTATTGGGGATATTCCACTTTCATTTAACCCTGGTATGGAAAAATTCTACATAAAATTTAAAAGCCATCAGATAAATACTATACATTCATGAGAACATAGCAGAGTATTTAGAATTTCAATTCTTAGCTACTGTAGAGATAAAAACACATATATCTTACATCAACTGTGCTAGAAAAATATTTCCAAGTGAATGGCATGGTTCTAAAAGAAAATAAAATTCACTTATATTGCATCTAACTTTTAATGCACATCATTCCTTAAAAAATTTAGTAAATAGAATATTTTGTAAGATAATACCATATGTGGTGCACTTATGGTAACAGCATAACCAATGGATTGAGGGGAGTCCATATAGGCATTGTGTTTGGCATAATGTCCTCTATCTACTTGTAACATGGCTTGGTACACTCGTTCATCTTTGATAATACCATTTCCTTTAAAACAAAATATCATCAAGAGTCCGATGGTTTCTTTCAATTTGCTGTACTTTTATACAGCAACTTGCAATATAATTTCTTGTCTTGTTGAAGTCATTCATTAATTGTGATCAAACTGTGGAAGTTATCAAAGAACTAAATTAAATTCCTGGTCAACTAGCAATTTAGTCAGGTGAATGCTTATTTCTTATTTATTCCATGTATATTTACTTCACAAAACATGTAATATTTGTGCAGGTTATTAATTTCATAACTAAAAACAGTTGGAACAAGAGTATGGACATCAGATCAAATTCATTAAGTAGGAAAAATAGTAAAGAATTACGACAATTACAATTCTGTCTACACTGTCACTTACTTAGTGTGTCTTCAGTAAAAATGAAAGTGATCCACTTTACGTGAACCAAGGTAAAACTTACTTTTTAAATTATTAATAAGGTTTTCATTATTACTACCACTTGACCTCCAAGCCATGGCAGCCAATCTACTGTAGGCGTAGACAACTGACGAAAGAGACAGGAAACGAATGACGGCGGTCCTGCAGCGGTTCAATATCACCATTTGAAAAGTTCACATTCTCAAGCCGTCACCTGCGCAAAAACCAGCAAACCATTTTAGAAACTTGTAAGCATGTTAGAGGATTGACAGGCGATAACTTGCAATCAGTTTAACATCGAGAACAGTCTTCTACTTAAAAACAATAAAATGGATTTGAAAAGCATACCAACGCAAGTTTTAAATGCAAAAAAACAAAAATATATTCCAATAAGTCCCTCACCCATCAATGACCTTGACACTTCAGGTCACCCAGAATTCAACGCGGCGTTTCCTATGTGACGTGACTCGAGTGCTTCGTTGCTCTACTGTTCTGCGCAGTTGCGCTACAGTCCAAAATTTATATATGGTTTTTAGCTGTGGCTTATATTTGATTCAGAAAATTAAACATGAAAAGTACTAATTTTAGGCGTTTGCAAATTTCAGTACATTAAACCACTTCGTTCTTCTTGATTAAGAGGTTTAAATTAACTGTAAAAAATAAAAGATATGTAATGCTGAAACTAGGACGACGATTTGAGCACGACGACGCTCAGAGACCGCGACACCCGGCGGTAAGATGTGAAAGTAGGAGCTACATGTGCTGCAGTAGACAGATATATTGCTACAATACAGACAGACATATAAGCCATTGATCCGAGTTTATCATTAAACATGTTTGATTTACCAGTGGGTCAAACACGGTAAATACTAGTTAATCTTAAAGGAAAAGTTTATGAAAATTGTCCTACAGCAGAACAGGCAATCAAAGGCATAACAATTATAACTCCTTGATTGTTGTCGGAGAGACTTTTCAGGGACTTGACAAGAGGCAGTGCCTTAGTAGTTATGCAAACAGCCTGGCCATTACCACTTGGATTTCAGCAGGGGTGGTGGTGGGGGGGGGGGGGGGGGGGGGGGGGTCACAGTAGTACAGTAACTTGTACATGATTAGCCAGAGACATCTGTGAATATCTAGTGAAAATCAATCTGTGGCCCTGGTATAGGGTACCTCTGAACCGTTTTCTATAACTGACTGTATCAGGCCTAACCAACTACTAGACATGGCACTGAATGATCCCGAATTCACCGGTAGCTTGGACCACACTACCCGTTATTAAGGTGTGAGTCAGTACGCATTTCACAGTATCATACCTCGGAACAAATTTAGAGATGAGATGCGCTACTTTCCAACCCCGCTGAGAATCATCACTATCACATCCCGTACTAGGGAAGAGCGTCTAATACTTCAAAGCACGTACTGATACACACCTTGAAAATGGGCAATGTGGTCCGATCTATTGGTGAATTCAGGATCATTCGGTACCGAGTCTGGTAGTTGGGTAGGCCTGTGTATGTGATATATAAATTAAGTGTGGATAATGCTTATGTCAACTTGTCATAACAGCTATAAATTTTGTCAGACTGGATTGTTTTTATAGAGACAGAACAAAAAGATAAAAAGTAATGGCAATGTGGCATGTAGTTTTCACATTGACAAAAGTTGTTTGGCAGTAATTCTTGTGCATGTTAAAGTGTCATTTTTGTTGTCTCAATTTAAACAGATTTGCTGATGTAAGATAACTGTAACATTGTGTTTTAATCTCATTTCAGTAATGAAAGTAAGAGATCGAAGCACTCTAAGACACTTGCAAGATCAGTAAGTACCACTACTTTAAGGTAGGTTGTACATGTACACATAACTACTTCAGAATTTGGTGAATTGTTTCAAAATTTTTATCCTTGTTATTCTGAAGTCTGAAAGACATTAAAATTTTACCAATATTCATCTTTCACATGTTATATTTAATGTTATTTTTATTAATTTTCAGTCTCCAACAGTGGTGACCATGATTTAACACGATAAGTACAATTTTGTAGAAAAATGAAATGCACAAATCCAACTTAATTCCATTGATAATCTTTTTATTGATAGCGTATGTACAGTGTATGTACTTGTATAGCTTTCTTATTTTTTACAGCTATTCATAATCTCTCTGTTACCAGCCTGACCACATCAAAGATGGCTTCTTCATTGGTGATTGAGGTCCACAACCAGTAACAATTACACCAACTGACACAGGTCTGCTATTCTCCCTCACATGTTTCCTTGGTTTTTCATGTTATTTGGCAATATGACTGGCAACATCTTGACATTGTCACATCATTATGTTGGGTGTGTTAGATGTTGCATGCATCTGATATACATTCTTTATTTTAAGAATATTTATCACACTATCTTGTTCGTTTTCAAAAGTGAGTTTTTTTAAGTTGTTGGATTTTTAGCAGTATGAACTATATTCAGGTTTTTACACCTGACAATTGTAATAACTGATTTTGATGTCATAGAGAAGAGCATATTATGTGTACTATACCTTGGCCTGATGGAAGTGGAAGACAGATTAATTTTTTTTTTTTTTTTCACCACATCATGATCTTCTTAAGAAAGCTTAGCTAAAGTACTAAGAAACTGCAGTTCATATAAGATGACAATATGTATTTGACTTGATACATTGTGTGCTTTATTTTCAATTGGAAGTCTTGTTTGTTTTGTTCATGCAAATGGCAGATTTCAAGGAATTAGAAGAAGGGGGACGAATAGGAAACCGTGGGATATTTGGATTTCTTACCAAAAAGGTAAATAGTATTATTACTGTGGACAGTGGTGATATATATATAGTAAAGATGACATTGCATATATTTATCTCTGTTGTTTGCTTGGTATATGTCATGTTTATGTATCAGCACAAACATTTTTTTCTTCAAAGTGGAAAAAAAATATAAACAACCAACACCATTTAAAGCATCTTTGACTGACCATTTTGTAAGGAAATCTTTATTTGAAGCAAAATACTGGTAATTATTAGTAATATGGACAAAAATGATCACCATCAATTTTTAGTTTCTTTAAACACACAAATAAGGGAATAGACAGAATGAGCATCAGCATCTTGATTTTGTCGAAGGTGAGTGAACACCTCTCAGTTATGATCATTTATGATCAGATGGACTTTTGTTTGGCTGGTGTCTTCCTTAGTTATTTGTCTGGTGTCTTCCTTCCATTTTTCTTTGAGCAAACATTTCAATAACACGTATCTACCAGTAGCTAGGTTGCAAGGCATATGGTGGATATTTTAGAGGAGAGATTCTGTCAGACTCATAGGGGGTTTGTTAATGGTTTTATGATGGGTTGTGTTTTGCCTGTTAAGTTGCATTTTATGACAAAGGTAAGCAAGATGCATACTAATTATATGTAAATCTAAACCTCCATTTCAATTGATAATAAAATTAAATTAGAGGTCAAAAGATTCTCTGTGTTTGATCTGATTTAATAACCATGAATATTTCCCCTGAATTGGGTCAGGACAACAATATCGGTTGTCATATATTAAACAGTAGTTCTGATGAAATTTATATCTACTTTTATTATATGCTTGTATGTTTTATTATCTGCTTTGTGAAGGTTTTAATTTGTAATCAAAGGTAAATCTAATTTTTTTAGATATTTTTAGGTAATGTTTTTAAGACGCTCCCCTTGAGCTTGATATCTTTTCGAGTCTCTGAATTTTTACTAATTTCAACATCATCTATATTTAAAAAAGATTTTTTTTATTTGTATTTCATGATGTACAAATTGATATATTTCTTATGATTTTTTATGTCTCATACCCATCAAATAAATGGCCAATCTTAATAACATATTCAGGTTCAACTGCTGTTTTTTTACCTAAACAGACAATCATTCTGGCTGTGAAACAGTTTGACCAATGTGCAGATTGCATGATGGGTCTTTGTTATGCTTGGTTACATAATTAATGGGATAGTATTTTGCAAATTTATGGAAGCTAGACGAGATATGGGAGTCGGAAAGAATATATTTAGAAATGAAGCAAGTTATGTTATCAAAGTGATACCATCTGACATTTGATCAATGGAAAGCTGTCTAAATATGGCCAACCCCTGCTGGTTATAGACAAAATATCTCATTTGTAACAATAATGGGGTTCGACATTGAGCCTATTGAGTAAGCCCTGGGACATATTACAGCAGTTATGTATGCAACCCCTTGCTACTAAAAAATTCAGTTGTCTTTTGCTGTAATTTATTTTCCTCGTGTCACAATAAAAGAAATTAATGCAATCAAGCCCTTTAACCAGTACCTGTTACAATATGAAAATGTTTTGTGTGTTGAGATGAGATATCCTCAAGCTTTTCTTTAGCATAATTGGCTGCTGTCATAAATTTTTGGTACTTAAATTGATACATGGTCATTAATCCCATAATAAAGAAAGTAATATGCTATTAAAACATTCTTTACAGAATTAGATTTCATATGTGCTGCTTTTAAGTTTAAAATATTTTATAAACTGATGTTTATGCTGAAATCTTTCTGTGGGTCAGTGCCATTTATTTAACATCATGCAGAGTCAACAAAGGGTCTGTTGTTTTGGATTTATGGCAAAGGTAAGTGACATTTCTCATAAGAAAAACATGTAAGTCTTAGTCTAAGAAACATTTTAGTCATTTGTTTATTAAACTTGGAAGTAAGAAACAATTTCACTGGATATTTGCTACATGTGCGTATTTGACCAAGATGGGTTCATGATTTGTGAAAAATACTATTGCAGTAGTTATGACAAATTTGTCAGAATGAGAAAAATGAATGGACTTTTAATAAACATAAACATTTGGTTTAAACCATGCCTTTATTCTTATTACTGTAACGGTTCTTTGCAAGTCTTTTTTTTTTTGTAATGACTTGTGTGGTATCACAGATGTCACTCGTCACAGCTTAACACATTCTTTTCAACATGAAGCTGTAGAAATAGATCATTATCCTATGAATAATTCAGTAAAAAAGAATGAATTAACAATTAAGCTCATTTGCAAATAATTTGTATAAATGCAACAACAGAAGGACATGTATATTTATTTTGAATTTCCTGCCAAAAAAGCAGCTTACAATAGGACAGGTGAGACCAGGTATGGTTTTCAATATGAATTAAAAAGGCTGGTTCTCAAAACTAAAGGTTATGGCAAAGTTCAGCTTCCACAATAGAGACTTGTACTAAACCTGTTGTGGTGGTTTTCACCAAAAGTCACAGGGTCACGATGTCTTGTCAAAAGAGGATCCGGCATAACAAGGGTCATAGAGTTCTGTCAAAAGAAAATCTTGACAGAAAAAAAGAGGTGGTACACCTGTGACGCGCGAGGCGGACAGTGATGCTCTTCCTGTGGAATGTAGAGAAGTAGGAAATAGCAGCAGAAGTCTAATCACTAAATGATAACATTTACACAGCGATGGACTAGCATGACATCAGG